TTTAGACAGCAAAGCCTGGTATTGCACTTTAGAGGTAGGGAAACAGTAATACATGCCTGTTAAGACCCATCTCAGGATTAGGAAATTGCCAGCTAAAATATTTGAAATTGAGAAAGAAAAGAAATGGAAGGTCCAGCAAAGCGTGAGAAAGAAACAGGAATTAAAACCTGGAAACCATAGAAACGTCCTCAAAGTGTGACGGTGAAGAGCTGCCGAATCCCAAAGGAAGTCTATTCTCTTATGCAGAAAAGTTTGTGCAGCAGGAAAAAAAGCAGAGTACGAATTTAGAGCAGATAATTCTATTAATACACATAAGAATTGTTGTGGAGGTTGATCTGAGGAGTTCCTAACCTCCCCCATGGTTGGGTTGTCAGCTTTGTGAGCAGTCAGGCGCTGGTAGACCTCATCAGCCAGTCTAGCGTTCTCCTCTGGTCCCCTTAGAGAGATAAAAAGCACTCAATCTGCAAATTCAGTGGAAAGCTACCTTCAGTCGACTTTTATAAAAGGCTTTCGTACTTGCGGTAACGTATTGCAGGGTACTCCTTGAGTGTATCGCACAGTGTCGCGATCTGCTCTGCCAGAGTTTCTATCATTTTTTCTTTTCCTTCATTCGGCTTTGAACTGTAGAAGGAGTACAAGGAGTTTGGATCATCCAGGGAGAATACCTGTAGGGGTGAAAGGGTTTGAGGTCTGCCTCAATTTAAACAAATCATTTATGTTTACAACAATCAAGCTGCAATAGCTATATTTACATATTAACTTAGAAATTATTCAATGTGAAAATCCACCACAGTGGTAAAACCAAATATGACACAAAAAACTAGCGACTAGCTGTTGAACAAAATGGAGCATTAAGCTCCAAGGCCAGATCAAGTACAATCAAAGTGATTAAGAAACAATATGGATGAAATAATAAAAAGTAAAGAGGGTACAATTCCCTACCTGAGACTCGTATGGGAGGAAAGCAACATTGATCTCCTTTAAAGTCTTGACAACCTTGGCAACTCTGGATCTTCCAATCTCTGCAAAAAGACCATCTGGACAAGCTGTGGAAGCAAGCGAGCATAAATAAAAAAGTCAGTAGGTTTCCTACAGATCTAAACACTGTTTTTGTTCTCGGAAACTTCAACGTGAAATGAATGATAAACGATATGTATCACAGATACACAAACACAATCTTACTATCGGTGAAGAAGATGTGTGCGGCTTTGTAAGTGAAGGCAGCGTCTTTGAAGTCGTCAATGAGAGCACGAACGGACTGGAATTGAAAACAAATTTTAAAATTTTACAATAATGAAAACAAATCAAACAATCGACACAGGAGATCTTGTTAGGAGAAAAGGCAGAAAAGGGCAACAGCTGACCTTTTCAACAGGTGAAATCAAATAAATGGCCTCCAAACTAGAGATGGGCTCCCTGCGTTTATTGATGTCCTCCACAACTGAAAAGGATAAAATAGAGAATTTTAAATGAAATCTCAAAAAAATTGACTGGATCATACAGAAACTGCAAACACAACGTCACCTTGTTAAGTGAAAAAACTAAATCAGTGAGTATTGGCATGAACTCAAACATCAGTCTCCCGTGAGAAATTCTTTCAATTAGGCCAAGGAGATCGGGTCATTTTTATTAAATAAATCAGTGAGTATTCATATAGTGTGGACAGTGGATATTGGGAAGTTGAGAAATATCACGGCCATCCATTTGTATGTCGTTGATTATCTGCATACTTACTGGTCACCCCCTCTGCCAAAATGTCTGACATCTTGCAGCAAGAGGAGAGAATTCGCATGCTCATGTGATCCACGATGAGAACCTGGAGAAACACGAGATAGACAGATGTTGTAAATTCAGGCTGATAAAATTTGGGGATTTCTTCAATCCGATTGAGCAACCGTTACCTTCCATTCTCCTTCCTTCTTTACACTCTTTATGACCCCATTGAGGATTTCTGTAGAAGAATTAAATGCATGTATGATTACAGAAAAGTTGGATTTAAAAGAACTTTCTTGCATTGCACAAAAAAAGGTAAATATCATTTTTAGCAATGAGTCCAATATGAAAATATCTGGCATAGACCCATATTCCTCTTTACTTGTAGACAAAGAGTGATGTTTATTTGCGGGTCATTGGCTAAAAAGCAAAAAAGAGAAGCGGAAATGTTCTCTTCTATGCCTATTTAAAAAAGAGCAATGGAAATGTTCATTTGAAATTTGTTGACATTTCATTTTAACCTAATGAAAAGATGTGACGGTTGACTGCGACAGAAACCGTCTCAACCAGGAACTTTCTTTAAACAAACCCATATTTGGTAAACTTGTATTTACTAACTCAGTCGGATGGATGCAACTTCCTTATGCGATAGTGTAAGATGATCAGACAAAAGCAAAGTTGCCAAGTGTCTTTATAGGCACGACAGCTGAGGTGTGCCACTATCAAGTAAAACCAACAGCAAAACTGAAGGTTTCCAGCAGAGTTCCATTGTGGAAGTGGACCATCCTGTCCAAAATGCCCTGGAATAAAAACATACCAACCAACATACCAAGGGCGCTATTCCATAAAACAAATATCCATTAGTCTGGATATTGTTTAGGCCATCATAAATACACGTGGCTTACCACCTCAGTTTAACATTCAACCACTTCCTCCCTTTAAAAGGAGGGTGTGGCTTTGAAATATTTGTGTGGATACTAGATATGTTATATTTGTTTGTGGGTCAGGACTGCGGAGAAGAATAACTACAATCTAGTCTGTACCAACATGCATTCAACAAAATAAAACTCTCTGCCAGAACCACGTGGAAGGTGAATCGCTGACACCATGTCCAAACCATCTCCTAAAAGGGCCACTGGAAACAATGACTACCTGAAACTGGCTGCTTCCAGATTAAAGCAGACCATCAAGCGATTTCTGCTGTCTTAAATCGTACCCTAAATATTTGTTAATCTTTCAAATATATGCAATTGCCAGGCATAAGCCGGTCTTGCCTCTCCTAGAAAGCTGTCATTTTACTTTATTCCGTCACAAGTCTGCCTTACTCGGTCGCATAACTTATTCGGCATTATAGTGAGAATGTAAAGTGGAAAAGAGGGCCTGCGCTTTCCCCCATCCTATTCTAAACTTAACATGGGGGGGGGGGGGGGGGGACAACAATACTTCCAAACATTAGATCAAGCTCATAAGAACTGCGCACACAAATCTTCCTAAGCCCATCATCAAACAAATCAGTGGCAATTAAAATAAGAATGAACAGCAAGCAGCAGCAACTCAGTTATAAATGGGCCTATTGTAAACAAGTAAACGTTGGCCTGATCTGCAAGTCCTGGGCAAGGTTACAGTAGAACACAATGGTAGAGTTTAGCAAATACGTGTGGCAGGTGTGTTCCCACAACAGTCCTCCAGTTAGCTGTTAGCTAATGAGAAGGTTGCATTGGTGATCAAAGAAAGGTAAATTTAACAATTCAGCTGTTCAAAATTGAAGTGGTTCAGAACAACATAATGCAATTGTTTATCAAATATGCGTAACGTTAAATAGCCCTTACAATTAACGTTATGGGTCTTTGGATTTGTGTATCAAGATTTAAGTCGTCTTTAAAAGCACAATAGATAATTTGACGTTACTGAAACAATAGTTGGGACTATTAGTAAAAACGAAACGTGAATATTGCTATAATAGTCAACTTAAAAAACAGCTCAATACTTTAGTCTTTTCCAAGTGTTTGGGACTTCCTGTTCGTGGTTAGCTTGCTCGTGTTAGCTTGTAGCTTGGACTGTCACGACAATGGTCGCAACGACACACTGACGCCGCAACTTTTTCCACATCCACCACCAACAACAACAACAAACCACCCGTTTCTCCTCGGCCCCCTGTGTCACCAACACAACGCAACAGTGAATGAACCACTTTGTTTGCGGTGACATCGTTTCCTCCGGCTCGGGCTAGCGTCGCAATTAGGACTGAAACAGGAAGAACCCGAAGTCCAACCGAGGTCCGCAGCGGAGTTAATAACGCGACGTTTGCTTCATTGTCAATTGATCGAGCTCCAAAACGAGACAACTCGAGCCGACAGCCCGTCTGTTTCAGCTGAGGCCACAGCGGACACGGCGATTAAACGCATGTGTGACTTACTTTCTCCAACTACCGCCTTCAGACCGCTCGGTGCCATCTTGTCGGCGATGTGTCGCCCGCTGAGTCGCTCGCTTCCTTGTTGTTAAAAGTCTGCGTGACTCGAGCTCGAGTCGGCGGTGAAACGTTGCCCTCTGTTGCCCGATGCCGCAATTGCCTGAATACGTCTCATACGCTTTAACCCCGACGTTGTGTTGTAACCTATTTGAAACAATTGTAAAAAAAATATTGATATAAACTAAGCAACGTCGTTGTCGCACGTGTGTTAGTCCTGAATCAAGCCTTTGCAATTCCGCGCTTTCGCCTTTATTATTGGAACCAGTGGACAATTATCAGTCTGACAATGGCATGATGAAATGCAATAACTTCCCAATTGAATGGCAGTAATGAAAAAAGAAATAATCGATTTTACTTGTGCCTTTTTGAGACCTATTTGGGGGACTTTTAAGAGGCTAATTTTGTACTGCTAAATATATTTGAGAGTAATACTTTGGAGAAATCACTTCAACACGATGAATTTGAAATTCAGCAGTTTGCAAGCTAAGTCAGGACACATCCAAGACTTAAGAGCGTCTGGACAAGCCAAACATGGCACTCTCGAAACATAAGATATGTCATACCACCATCATGCCAGTTCATATGGTGTTGAATGGGAAACGTTTTATTACGTATGTAATATAAGTATGTTACACACACAATTAATGTGGCTGGGTGATTGGTGCATAACAATAAACATAATTTTAAACTATGATCATTTCCAATAAAATATGGTCATAATTTAATGTCATTCTATCCCAATTGAATCATCTCTGGTGCAGTGAGGTGATTTCCCTCTACAATGAAAGCAGCACGAGTAAAGAACTCACCGAAAATCTAGGGAATTTTGAAATTTTATTTCCCAACAAAATAACCCAAAACACAAATAAAAGGTTACCAAGATGGTGAATTAAAGAATAAGAGCAATAGGTACTATCATCTCTGTCCCACGAAAAATTATGTGTGCTCAATTCAAGAGTTCATGGAGATTTGCTTTGGTATTAATGCAGGTTTATTGTTGCCAAAAATGCTAAATCGCTGCATCGCTGTGATCAAATGTTCTAAAACAATAAACACATAAATAAAAAGGATATAGATTCTGAAAACTACTCAAATAACTATTTGATGACAATGCAATCACAACAAATCACCAGTCATTTAAATACAAAGAATTCAGGCAACTCCAGTGTTCCTAGTGAGATTCAATGACACATGTAGCTCAAAGGCATATTAGGAGTGTACTCAAAGATTTCCATGTGTCATGCTCTTACTGCAGTCCCACCAGTTTTCGTTTTACCCAACAAATACGGGCAGATGAACCTCCAGCAGTGGTGTAAATTGTATAAAAGCATCTCTTTAACAGATAATTCTCAATTCTCAGAACCCATTGTCAGTGCCTTTAATAGTTGCTGCTCCTTGCGGGCGCGCATTCGCTCTTTGAAGTCCTCCATCTCTTTCCTCTGCAAATGAACATAGAACAATCATGATCACATATTGTGCTTTACATCCGTAGTTTTATCAGACGTATTTAAGAAATTATCATTAGCCTGATTTAAGTCAATAAAAAAACTTACGCGCTGTTCGTCGTCTGGGGGGAAGATCTCCCTCTTCCTCTTTACAATGTACTCTTCAAAATACTCCGCTTGATTCGAGATCCAGAACATGGTCACGGGAAAGGAAAGATACAGCATCATCTGCTCAAAGACAAATAGATCCGCAAGTGAGCGATCGTGGTAAACGTGACCGCACTTAAACGAACAATGATGGTAGTCTTTAGCCAGATCGAAGCACGGACGCTCGGAGCAATTTGAGTGATTTTAAATTAACAAAACTAATGGATAATACCTTCACACGGACGTTGTTTTAAAAAGGTTGGTACTTACTCTAAACATTTCTATTTTAACACCCATTTTAGCATCGGCACTGGAACCACAACATTGAAATGTTATCTAACGTCCAACGTCGCCACAAGACCTTCAAAGTACTTCCGGGTTGGTGACTTGGAAGCCACGGCGCATGCGCTCATCTTGTCGGAAATAAATATATTTATAACACAGTTGAAAATTAGACAAACTTATCACATTTAATTGTGTACAATGTTATCTCCTTGATGAGATACAATCTGGAGGGTTTAAAATATGATTACAGCTGACCTTTGGTTTGATAAAAAAAAAGGTCCGGGGTTTGTCCACCGAGGGGCGCTGCAAAATGTTGATTTCTTTCCTAATACCATTGTTAGTGTTCTTTTAAAATAAACTTTGCAATAAATCCCTATAAAGAGAACTACAGTGGATGTTATCTCGTCCTAGTCACTATTAATGCAACATAGCATCAAACACTTTGAAGCTGGTCACCACGCTGTTATCATATTAAATGAAAACGATTGAATACAGTGGATCTAATGGACTCTTTTGAATACATTTTTTGTGAACATCTGTTTGTATTTGTTTTACTACACACTCACATATTCTAAGAAGTTACATCCTATCTAGTCTAACCAGAAACAGGGAGGAACATACCCCACAACGGGGTAGTTTTTAGAACAGAATTGCATTTTAAATTCCACTAATAGCTCTTTATCTTAATTCTAATATGTGCTGTCGAATTTACCCCGTCCGCTGCCGGTTATCCTGCGTATAGCTATATTTCTTCTCACAGTTGCCAGGACCGTAACACAGGCTTTACGTCCTCGACGAAAGACCGACGCGTGACGTCACCGACAACGAGAGGTGTTCAGGATCCTCGGAGAGAAAGATCCCGCGCGCCCTGGCAACCTGATAAACCCAGGTAAACACCGTTGTTTCAAACATTATTCTGCCAGTCGTGTTGTCGCAGTAAGACGAACGAGTAAGCCGCCAAGAGGCACGGTACCAGCGGTGTAGAGGTTTGAGAGGTAGCGCTGATGCCCGGCGCCCACTGAGACCGCTCACTTGCACGGCGGCCTGTTCCGGCTAACTAGCTTGCTAGCTAAAGCTAGTTGGCAGTTTGTCTATCAAAAGACACAATAACCGCATCTAAATAGTGTGTCTATCTGACACCCCTCGCCTGTCTCGCTCACTGCTGGCCACAAATCCGCCGTAAATGGACAGACTAGGGGCGCTACGGCCGCTGTGTAAAGGCTAGTTTGCTCGTCGACTGTCTTGTGTTGTGGGAGACGGTGACGCCGTCACGGTGATGATGGCGCACACTTAGACCGGGGCCGTTCGACGAGAATGCCACCAATGGAGCAGGTAACACGCAATAGAACGTTAATGTTCATTTTCCTAAGCTCGCTGTCACGGCCGGGAAACAATATGGGGGTATCTTTGTACGCTTTCACCTCGGCGATTCCCAACACTGACGTCCATTACGAAACCCGGGTAATAATCTATGCCCTGTGGCCTAACGTTAGGATCTTGGCTTCGCGGTGATGGTCGCTAGCCAGCAGGCATTACTTGCAATTTATCATTGTATTCACCAAATGTGGCTCTGGTATCCATCCCGGGCTGACGTGTTTGAGTTCGCAGGGTTCGTGGGACTAATATGGGGGAATATAACAGTCATAAGTCTCTGGAACTCAGCCGACCGGTATGTTCAAACATTACTCGTGCAGAGGGCCGTCACTATGTGTATATAATGTGTTTTCTTTCTGTTCTCATTATTTCGAATGCTTTGCTTTCGTCAAAGCAGTTGGAAGCCCAATGTGTGACAGTATAACTATCTAATGACAGACAGTAGCCCTCCTGCAGGCCATGCTGGTTTAGATGGGTTACTTGCCTGAACGTGCATAAAAGCTAAAGCAATTTAAAACTCTGGTGCATCTGTAACTCTACGACTATTGTATATATTTTATTTGTCATTTTCCTTGAAACAACATTTCTGTTATGCAGGCCTGAGTTGGTATTGAGTCAAAGCAATGGTTCAGTTTTGTGATCAACTTGTCACTGATTAGGTATAAAACAAGTGTTATCACTGTCTACACTACGACACACTGGGTTAAAGGGCAAAGAGTTACCAGGTATCCAGTTAATCAAAGAGAGATCCGGTGGTTACATTTAAAAAAAATATTATCAGACTTAAAAGTGCTTGTAGATTCTAGTGAAGGTTCCCGTGCTGAGCATATAATGCCATACCTCTAATAATCTGTATGTAATAATTGTTGGTTTTCCATTTGAAACCATGAAAACCTCCTACAACATTTCAGGGCATTTTTAAAAGTTGCCAGCGAGGATGATGTGCTGCTGATGTGTTATTTCTAGCTGTTTATATTTACACTATCATCATCCCATGCACTAAAACATATGCCTCTGTTATTTGTTTGTTTGAATTCCTTTTTTAGTTCACTTGTCATTGGTTTAGTTGTCATGATAACAACATCCGTGCCCTAGTTTTGAACGACCTCTGAATGAAACAGAGTATGTGGTCAGGGAACAAATGAGCGAGCATACAAAATCTGTTTTTTGTGCATGTGTATATGCTTTATTTAACACTTTATATGAATCATTGACAGTAGCGTCATGAAGTTTACTACTACCATGCTATGAAGCTACTGCAACAATAATATTGTAGAGAACGCAAGTTTAGTTTTTCATTGACAACAAAGTATATTGTGGCATGTTCATAAAGAAACAGACAGAATTCACAATTTATATTTTTTTGATGATCTTTCATTTTTAAAACCAATAGTGATGATCCACATTAGAATCAGCCCCTGTAACAACAATTACTGGTTGTTGGCTCATCTGTCACCCATGACATTTTAAGTGGTCGATTGACCTTTTAATAAAATTGCAATATCCAATATAAACATCTTATTTTGGCTCGACCACACGCTGAAAAAACACTATCGAAGCGCGAGCAGAGAGGCAGCTGTGGTGAAGTGAACCAATGGTGTAGTGAAATAAACTCCAATGGACTGCAACTACGCTTATTACTGCATGTGCATTAAAAGAGAGTAAAAAGCCAATAATTTATACATCTGTGCACATTTAAACAAAAGTGAAACTTAATCCAATAAGCCACAGGCACGATGTTTACACAAGCACAGCAACCAGGAGGACAGGGGGAATGACTGATACTGACTGTTGTCTACGTTCTTTATAAACTTGCCTCAGAAGTGTTGTTCGTAGGTCTACATTCCATCAGACGGGAACATTTGGGAGATAATGCCCTGTAGGTTCACTACTACGAGTGACCCCTTATCATATTTTCATTTTAAAACCTATTTATTTTTGCCCTTTGTAACGGCCCTAACAAATGCAAATTTAAAAGATTTTATGATGATTGTACAGACTTTGAAGGGACAGTTTGCGTGTTTTGAAGTGGGGTTGTATTATTGGCTTATCCGCAGTGAGTTTAGAGAACCATCTCGGCGTACGGACACAGATGCAAAGTAATGCAGTGCTGTGTGCGTTGGGAAGAGAAACACATTGTAGCCACTTGAAATAAAGATTATAATCAGTTTTGCAGAGTGTTTTACATTATTCTTGTTTATTTCATTTTATTTTCATTCTGATCTTTGTATAGCTCATATTTATTATTATTTCATTATTATGATTTGATATCTCTATTGATATTTTTATTTCACATTCACATTGGAATAAACAGATGACTGATTTCACTTTATTGTGTTTCATTCCTGGTAATTAACAAATTAATGCTGAACAATATTGAAAAGTTACTTTAAAAAATATACATTAATAATGAAAGAAAAAATATGTTTGCTACTAAAAGTGAAGCCAAAACCTCTCAACCAGCAGCGGGTGGCTAGTAGTTGGATTAGCAGCGCTTGATTTGATATGCAGCTGGGTAGTCAATCAGCGTGGCATGCATTTTAAACGTCATCCCCTGATGTGCTTTAGGACTTCTATCTTTAATCACTTCTAATATGCATGTGCTAATAAGTGGGATGTTGTTTCATGGGTTACTCCAGTGTGTTACTACAGAATTGCATAAAGAGAGGGCTCCGAACCCAAAACACTGTTTAAAAGATAATGGTAAAAGAGAATACATGCAGAGATATCTTGACTTGTAGTCTCTAGCATTGTTCAAGGTTTTCTTCAGACCTTGTATTTTAGATTCCCTTCATTCTCAAACCAAAAGGCCTTTGTTATTACTGCTAAGTAGCTCTTTCTCCAACCCTGTCCCCGCTCTGTTGTTTTTGTCCCTAACAAAACTTAATATATAAGTGCATGGTACACCATGTGAAGTTGGCAAATGGCCTGTTCCCTGTTTTCTCCACGCTGTGTCCCTGTAGCTTCCAGCTCCTCTGGTGATTAACGGGAGCGTCTCGAACTTTCTTGCGTCTCATCCACGGGCACACTGCTGCCTCTTTATCTAACACAACTCCCAGTCAAAATGCTACCCTGTTCCCCACCTTTACCCTTACTCTTGTTGTCATCCCTCCCTCACTCCTCCCCTGTGTTAAAATACGACCCCCCCCCCTCCACCAACAGAGCCATCGGTTTGGTCTCCTCCCAGTTGCTGTAGGTTGGAGCTTTGTCGCTGTAGCAGCTGCTGTATTGTCTTTGGGAATGGTGCATATGGCACGTGGACAGAGAAGTGGGTCTGTGTGGACGTTGTCAGCGTCTGGCTGCAGCACAGATGAGCTACTTATTTTTTGGGAATACCAGCATTGTCCCATGCACTCACAGGTCACTTGAGTTGCATCTACTCTGGTGCTTTAAATCTGACTCTGATGTTATGAATGTTAATAGATATATAGCCATATATAATGTGGGATCCTGTACCCGGCTCACAGTGTGATCACCTGGATGTCCTGAACTATACGAGAGGGTGCTATACGAGGGTGCTATGGCTCAAGAAGTCAAGGTGTATGATACCTTGATCTGATACCAGCTGAGTAGTTTTACCGATGCCGCTCTACGTTATGTCCTGGATTCAGATTATTCACATGAGTTAACCTGCTGTCCTACGCAGTACAAGACGCATCCTCTTTATTTATTAAGTTTTAAAAATAATATACTATATATAACGTTGTGGTCGTGCATTATATAGGTGCTTGCTTTATAGTCAAAGTGGCCACAAGATATATACACACACAAACTTGTCATTTACTTTGCATTTACTTTTCACACAAAAATGTTCCAATAGATTTGGCCTGGATATTTTCTGCTAAAACAGTTTGCCCATAAAATGAAACTCAACTGTTTGTATGTACTGGGCTAGTCCAGCCACAACATGAATGGCAGTGGTCTATATCTGGAGAAGATGGAGTGTAGATAAGGGGGGCCCTTAAATTGGTGGGGGGAGGCATACAGGATCACTCCAACGGAGGTAAGTGAGTGGGGGTGGGGCATGATGAAATGGACTATGGAAAAGACAGGAAGGGGGTGGGGTGTTAAAGGTGTAAGAGTGTGAGCAAGAGAGAGAGAGAGAGAGAGAGCAAAGACCTAAAGCTATTGATGGGAAAGCGGGGAGGGGTGGATTGAGCAAGCGCGTAGGAGGGCGGGAGGGAGGGAGGGGTGTGTGGGCTGAGGCTCTGCTGAATGAGGAAGCAGCAGAGCCATTTTTACTGTTGAGTAACTGCATGCTGGTCTGCTGCTGCGAGGGAGCGGGTGAGAGCGCAAGCTGGAGGGATAAAGTGCTCCTCTCCGATCTTATCGGAGCCCTCTCTCGCCTTCGCTCCCCCTTTTCGCTTTTCAGCTTGTGTCCATTTAAGTTGGGGAAGCCCTGGAGAGGACACACAATGGAGCGAAGAGGCTGTGGCAACTGGGCCGTTGTACTGCTGAGAGGGGGATGGGGTAGAGAGAGGACCGGTTCTACACAGCTAACACAGCCTGCTGGCTGTAGGCTTCCTCAGCCTTTCCTCCCCGCCCGGACCCACCGTTTCCAGGCCGGGGCCTTCATTTTTTTTTGAGGAACAGCAATCCTAAAACTTCGCTTGGACTACACAAAGGATTACTCACTGTGTTGTCGGGATTTTAGGATACAAACTGGAAGCCTGAAAATTAAAACCGTCCCGGGTCTTGGATTAGAGGAAAGAAAAAACTAACTTCTGTGTTATTCCTCTTGCCCTTTTTTGGTTTCTGTTTCTGTTTAGTGGAGTTCATACATGGATTACAAGATGCATGCCAAGTCAAACGATTTGTTGGATTTTCAAAAACTGGACGCTCTTCTGGAAAAAATTGCACACTCAGTCTCTGTGAAAAGGTAATGTTAACTGGTGAAGTTGATCCTCCTAGAAAGCATTCAGACATTTAACAGAATCACTGAGGGTTTCATGTAACCGACGCAATGATTTTAAGTTTTACAACATACACACATCAGTTGAAATCCATGGTTAAACACTGACGAGGTTATATCAAAGACATGCTCGAGTAATGTCTCTTGTGACTACTATCTTGTTTTACACGTCTCAACTCAACGATCCAGTCTAGATTGGTTGGGTTGAGAATAGTATTGTTATCCAAATTTCAGCCAGAAGCCGTGAACCTACCCCCTGGCGAGCGAGGGTGTGTGTAGTAGGGGTTAGTTCAGAGGAAGAAGGGGGTTGTGTGTGGGACGGGGGGCCGTGGGGGGGCAGTTTAAAAAAAAAAGCCTGATTCCTGCTTTGGTTTAGCTTGCTCTACCCAAGCAGCTGGAGTTTAAACCTGAAAGAGCCGGCATGGTCTGGCCGCTTCCTGTTCATGATCTGCCTCACTCATTGTTAGTCTGAGTCAGTTGTGCTCAGTTGTTGTGACTCATTCAGGAAGTGGTTATAATCGATAATAGAGCAACGTGTTGAGATTTGCGACGTTGTGATGGACACCCATGAGGCACTAAATAAGTTATAAACATAGCCGTCCACATTTCTTTTGTGTGTAGCTCCTGTTTTTCTATAAACAAACGTAAGTCGTACAGGCCATGGGTGGTTACTAGTGAATTGGTAAGCTTCCAAAAGTAGGCTTAGGAATCATCGAGAATAAAAATACACTCGCCAAGAAGCCGAGTGTTGCCATAGAAACTGTGGCAACATTTGTTTTTCTTGGAGCCAAGTTTCAGAGGTACTCATAAAGTAGCAACAGACCAAAAGCACACATACAGAGTGAATGAATGTACAATAGTTACCTATGTTACATATTTTTTCGCTGTGGATATTATTGGTGTATAATTCTTAGCACGTAGCTAGTACTCAGTCGCACACTGTACAATGTGTAGAGCGTTGTGCTGCGGTGTACATAGCTGTGATACAACTGGTACTCGGTGGATGTATGATTGAGAAAGTAAGAAATTTATCGGTGACATCCTTAATATTTTATGCCAGTTTTTAGCTTAACCTTTTCCAATCGGGTCATCAGACACATTAATGATGACTAAAAGACCCTAAATACTAATATACAGAATATAAGTTCTAGTATTGCCGTCATTAAATCTTTACACAGTTTCATATAGTAGCACCAATAATATATATTTTAATGAAACATGTATATGTGGCTTGTCTTTGTTTGGTAATAATCACATTTAAAATAGGTGGTCTTGACTGCCCGTGAATATTAACAAAACATAGGGGGAAAATAAGGATAAAATACATACAATTGTTGGCTGCATACCAGCTTTATTAGCAAACCTAACGTGCTTTGACCTACTGGGACACCCGTTGCCCTTCAGATGCCATTTCTTTGTCGTTGAAGGTCTTTAGCTGACCATTGACCCTTTTTTTGTGGCCTCTTCAGTTGGCAAGTTGTGGTTTCAGTAACTTGTGCAGTTTCTTATTATCGCTCACATTCAACCTATTTCTTCTAGTACAAGTTATAAGAACACAGACTGACAAACCCAGTGAAGAGCAGAATGCAACCTTTCCCCTTGTTGTTGTCATATGGAGACCACGTGCCCTCGACATAGGTTCCCATCACACCTCATAAGACTCTTATGCAACTAATGTCCGAGGGTTATTAAACAAGTATGGCACCAATTTGACACCGCAAACCTTAGATCACTCAAATTGCTAATGGAGATTAATCCATCTTCATTTAACATAACCTCCATTCATCTCGTGGGTGTACCTCAAATTCCCATTCTTGAAAATCTTCAATGAATAAAACCCGGATAAAGCCATGAATCCTTACATTTGTCATCCACCAAGGAATCTACAGGAGAAATAGAAACGCATAGGACGTGAGTGCAATGACGCTAGTAAATAGGAGCAAAGTTGGTGTGTCGTGGTCGGTGGAGGAGCTTAAGAGTGGAGCTGCTGCCTGATGCGAAGTGTTGCAGGAGGTTTTATGAGGAGAACAGCTCCTTCCATGTCACTGTGGTTATTAATTATTTAGTCCTTTTACTCTCAGGAAAAAAGCCCGCCTTCATTTTGTCACTTTGTGACGACCCCCCTCCGCCCCCCCCCCCCCCCCCCAAACTATTTAACATTTATTTTTTTTGCGGGGGGGGTGGGGGGGGGGTTTCTCTCCCCTCTCTAAAAAACAAAAGACTTTGTTCTCTATTAAAAAGAGAAAAATTTTTTGGGGGCCACGGGGAAACCCCCACCCCGGTATTCAGAGCCACTTCCTCCCCAGAAGACATTCCACAGCCGTCTGCAGTGATGTATGTCCAGCTCAAAGGTCAATTGGTGTTCCAGAGCTGAGAGCAATGTAGGACAGGCGGCAACAGGAAGTGGACCTCTTGATTGACCCCTGTTGGGCGCTTCGGTCGTCTTATTTCGTCTTGCATGCCAAATTTGCCCTTAAAAGAAGAAAGCAGGTCATAGGAGGGGTTTACGCCGTTGTATCATATCGACTAGTCGAATTTTATGTCACCATTGAAGACAACTACTACTCTGTTAAATATTCAAAATAATAATCTGTTTCAAACCTTAACATTTTGCGGCTAGTAGTGTATTCATGCAAATTAAGATCTAACTTCATATGAGATCATTCAGAAAGTTAAAAGTTAAATTACCTTGAATGCGACACATTTTATAATGATTTCAGTAATTTATGCTTTAATGATGGACTACAGTCAGAAAGTAAAAACTAAATTTAACTTCACTTAAGTTTGTTTTAAGTTATTTAAGGTTACTTAAGGAAATGGGGTCAGAACAGACCCAGCAGGTTCCCTACGGCAGTATTATTTCAACATCCATTAAAAGAACAACAACCCCTGTTATCGTTTGTTGTTTCTGGCTTGTCAGGCGCAAAACACCAACACATCACAAACCAGGCAACTGGGTTGTTTTCATTAGGATTGAGGCCATAATCAGTATGGCTTTGTAGAAAACATGAATGGAAATTGTTCTTAATTCTTCATGAGTGCACAGCCATCATAATGATACGCAATATAGTTCATGCTGCAAATTAATTCACAGGTTTTAGCCATCAGTTTAACCATCTCCATTTCCGCCACGGTCTCATACCTCAATATCTTTTACAGATAGACTTAGTGTGTGAAAGTGAAACAAATCATTTGTGCAGCGTAAACATGCAGATCATAAGCTTCGTGAGATGACGATTTGCATCAGAGCTTCCACGTGTTGGTAAATGCTTCCGAGAGAATATTTAGAAGTAAATGGCCACAAGGATGGATGGATGAAACATGTAAAGAGATTAGAGGATTATAGCCTCTTTAGACATATTCCTGACGTAAAGATGCCGTAAACCATCCGGGTCATTCATGCCCCTCGTTTATTGCATCTGTCTCTTGGTTTCCAGATTGGTGTTTACATTTGTCGTTACTGTGCTGTAATGTCTATTGCTGTAATTGTGCTTATCGTTCCTGTTAATAAGCTGGAAAGGACCGTTTGGGAGTATTGGTGTGGCAAGACTTCACTCAAGGCAGCAGCAGAGGCCAGTCTGTCAGTCGGATATTTTGCTTGCCTTTCTTGACTTTTTCCCCTGTGGAGGACTTCTTATAGTGGCATTTCGCAAGCTGTTAACGCCATAGTAAATAGTTCTGGAATGCCGTTTTAGTCCAAATTAAATAAATGAATAAATACATGAAATATGCATTTGAAATGCATCATTAAATAAATAAATGAGGCAATAAATACATAAATATTAAATACATTTAATTATTTCATGGTACTTTTATTTCATAATACCACTTTTCATTCCATGGTACTTTTATTTCATAATGCCACTTTTCATTTCCGGGGTCTTTTATTTCATAATGCCGTTTTTCATTTCCAGAGACTTTCATAATGCCGTTTTACATTTCACGTTCTTATATGCAAATCAGGGGGCGTGGCTACATCTAACATTCAGAACAGACAACAGAGCCGTGTGCAAAAGAAGGCTGGCTAAGGGACGTGAGTGTTTACATAATGGAAGACATCGGTGGGCTCCGAGGTAGCATGCTAGCATTAGCAGATCAAATCGATCAACATGGGTTTTCTGCAGATACGATTTTGACACATATTGAGGGTTTTTTGGAAATACTAGGGTGGATAAGTGCTCTTCAAGATGTATACATAGATGACGAAGTTTTAAATTGTTTAAGACTGATTGAGCACCGCGTGCGTGTGGAAGAGGTCCAAGTTGAAGAAGTCAACATTAGCGCTGGTACTACAAGCACAGGTGCTGGACGCCCGTCTCTGGATATTCCTGGCGACAAGCTGGCTAACTTTGTGTTGTCCGGTCTATCAACCCGAGAAATCGCGGATCTGTTTGGTGTGTCATCCAGCACCATTCAGAGGAGATTATGTCAACACTCACGTCCCTTAGCCAGCCTTTTTTTGCACACGGCTCTGTTGTCTGTTCTGAATGCCGTGAGTTGGATTGAAAAGTTGAGTGAAAAGTGTGGCTAACTCGCTTAAATGTTGTCTTTCTAGTTTGTTGAGTTCAACAGTTATTTCATTGTTTCACTCAGTGCCTTTGACTCAATGTTCACCCAGAACCGTTGGTTTGGCCTTTTGTCACATTCAAAACAAAGTCAAAGATGATTTTCCAATTTTTTTATCACTCATTTGGATTTCTTAAGCCCAATACTGTATTTCAGAAAAATGTTTTTAATCCTCGCCTTCGCTGTAACTGTCTTTCACAACTAGTTATCAGTTGTCGTACATCTGACAATGATGGCTGGTGGAATTATATCCAGCTGAAATGAATGTAGCTGAAGCTGTTGAGGTGGACACCAGGTCACAAACTCCTGTGCGATAGCACCGTCATGGTAGAGAGGTATCAATTGTGCTCTCTTGACCTTTTCACTTAATAGCTTGTGTGGACTAATACTAGGTTGAGAAAATCTCACTGAAATAGGATTGCACTGGTCTCTGCGGCCTGTGCGGTTGTGCCTTTTCTGCCAATGGTCACATCCCAACCTTGTGGTGGTGCAGTATGGCGTGTGCTGGGACACGGCCTGTCACGATTATACGTTAAATGCGGTTGGAATACTGGCCTTGTAGCATGAGTTTTCCATCCAAATCAAATGATTGCTTAGGCCATTGCTGTCGTTGCTGGTGGCATATGATGTTTTTATACTGAGGCTAATGAGTCTAAAAATATATATATATTTTTTAAACACTTTGTCAATCCAATTCAGCATTTCTTTTTCAGCATTGCCATTCACAGTTTTGCACATTTGTACCTTGGACCTAGGCACGCTCTGTGTTTATTTATCTGTTGGGTTTGACTTGTTTCAGCCACATCTGTGTTAAAATGTTGTGTTTGGGGGGGGGGGGGGTCTTTTTTATGTGTTGTCATTCAACATATTGCTCAGTTACTCAGATTCTCCACTGTGTTTAAATGCCTCGGGCTGTGATCATGTGGTGGGAAAAACTACTTCCCTCTTGTGACTCATCAAGAACGAGATTAGTCACAGATCTATTCTATGATGTGTGTTTATACATTTAAGGCCCTGATGTGGGGGCGATTTTTTTTTGGTCTACAAGACTGGGGAACCGACAGGTTTCTAATGGAGACTTCAATACCTCTCGATCAGTGCTTTGTCCCACAACGTGTTCCTCTGCCTATTTTTAGTCACGTTTTCTCAATTATTTTTTGGCTTTGAAGTCTTAACAGTGTGTCTTGAATGAGATGTCCTGACCACCTTGGAGAGGACATTATGTTGGTCTGAGCGTTGTGTATCGGAACACACAGTCCCCCAGCTGCCAGATGACGCTAACTCCCCCTCCCCCCACGTCCACCCACATCCCTAAACACTCCCAGGTCCTTACACCGTAGAAAGAAAAGGATCTACTGAAAACACGTGTCAGGTCTCTAAGCTTTTGTGAATACAGTGAATTTAATGAACGTAAATTAATTAAATTGAGTAGAAGCATATCAACTTGTATATCTTAAGTCATAGTTGAAGGCTGGTGGTTGAAACCCTCTGTGTGGGTTCAGCGCTGGTATTGAATATTATGCTGTAGAAATGAAATGGTGATGAGGATTTTTACCATCACAAAGACGTGATAATGGCTGGCTAACTATATTTAGTTAGTCAGCTCTGCTTTCACACTTTGGGGTTAAGTCAGATTGTCTTTGGATACTTAATGTATTTGTTTGAACGCAATCAAAGCGTTCTGTCATGAGGTATGGTTGCAACTCATTTTTAATTTTGATTGAGCTTGTCGATTTATAATTCGAGAGAAAATATAGACAGAGAAACTATCCTGTAAGTCACTCCTTATTTTAATATGCACAGAGCCAATGAATTAGTTTTTTCCTCATTGAAAGCTCCTATTTATGCACCAGTTTCATCTTTAATGTCAAAATCCAGATCATATCCATGACTAGAGCTACACTGAATAGTCTAAAGCATTTTTCAAAACATTGACATTTCAATATTAAAATAAAAAATATTTACGGCGGCTTGCAATATTCCACCTTCTCTTTCTTCATGCCACCCCATTCCATGTTTAATGTCCTCAGTCCAGAATTATGATTTATTGCAAAGATATAATATATATTTACAAGATGTTTTTATATTCGCCGCAGTCTGGCATTTGCCATTTTTACACGCCAGAAAATGTTATCAAGCCAAGCATGTTTTGCACAAAAAATCATCAAAGATGGACAATTCATTTTCGAATGGTTTAGAAACACGAGATCTTCAAAATGTAGATTTGAGTTTGATTTGCTTAATACATTTACTATGAACCTCTTTGTTTACAGGTCTTGTATACAGGTCATACATTATCCTATGAATATGTTGGATAGAGTTACCGTTGGTTACCATCCCTCCTCGGCAATGTGTTGGTTGGTTTGTGGTGTTTTGCCGGCAGCACTTGTTCTCTCCTTCCTTCATCAGAGTACATTTTGTTCTTTTGCCCTCTGGTGTTTCGGAAAACACTGAACCAGGTAGCTTTGTAGCTTCCTAGAGTTGGGAGGGGTGCGCGCCACAGTGCCAAGCATAAGTATAACAAATACAAAAGTTAGCAGGCACACCGCAAACAAACAATCCACGGAAGAGCGACGGCAAACTAGTTAAGAGTTAAAAATATATTTGTACTGAGTAACGGTGGACGTGCTCCTTCACCAGAAGCGTCTCTAAATGCGCTGTAGAGCACAGAGTGTAGAGATTATTTTATAACATCTTAGTTTGGATTGTCAGTTTGTTAAAATCAAGTTATTATTGTTGTGAAAATTGATGTACCTGTAATGTATGAGAATCAAGCTGTCATTACATTGGGACAGAAATTTCTGTAAATATATCAATATTTTGGTAAATTAATTTCTGAATATGAACACTTAAAATCACGCGGGTCCTGCAAGCAGTAAAATGCAGAAGATTACTAGTAATTTTATACTTGGAAGTCATTCATTGTAATGAATGGGGGAACACCTTCAACACTCCATTCATGCTACCAAACACAGCTGCTGCCCCTGTGAAAGGAAAGACAAAATACTCCATTAAATACTAAAATAGTTGTAAATAGGTGGTATGCCACTGTCTTTTGCAATTACAACAAGATAGATACCAGTTCCACTGACTAATAACTCATAAATGATTCAAATACTGTGTTAAATACTGTGTTACCAACTAAATAAAGGTACATTTTATTTAAAGCTGTTCAAAAAGATGCTAACAACTCTATGCTTTTTTTTTTTTTCTTTTGCAGAGAGTCCAGCGAGGAGTGCAATGGGATCAGTGGTGCTCTGTCAGTGGAGTCTGTGCCGGGGCCAAGACTGAACTGGTGTCCTACCAACATCCCTACCCCTGCCCCTGCAGCTCAAGCTCCAGCTCTGGGGCCGGAGCCCAACCCTTTTAGAATGGGGGACGGTCTGGATGCAGCGCAGATGTCGGGCGGTGGCAGCGGCAGCAGCGGCAGCGGCAGCAGCCAGGGGCAGGCCCAGCAAATGGGCAATCCCCCGCCCCCAGAGTACATCAATCCCACCAGGCCAAAGCGCCAGACCAATCAGCTGCAGTACCTGCTCAAGGTGGTGTTGAAGGCCCTGTGGAAGCACAGTTTGCCTGGCCCTTTCACATACCAGTTGACGCGATCAAACTTAACCTGCCTGTGAGTTTTTTCCCTTTTGGTTTTGTATGATGCCTCAAACCCTAACACATTCGGCTGCACATCAATACACCTCACTCAGGTTGAACTGCGAGGATTTGTGGTTTGTTTAAGATATTAAGGCTAATTTTCCTCATTTTGGAAGAAGCTAAATGGTACATTCCTACACATGCACTGTGACTTTCATTTCACTGTTGCTATGATGTCTTCATACTTTGGACCAGATCATATTTTGTGAGCCCCTTGATGAACGATGTACATTGGGCCTATATAGAATGTATCATAGTGTTTCGATTACAGTTTTAATGTACCTCTGTGCAACTTTTACAGGACTACTACACAATAATCAAAACTCCCATGGACATGGGAACAATCAAGAAAAGGCTTGAGAACAGTTACTACTGGAACGCCCAAGAATGTCTCCAGGACTTCAATACGATGTTTACCAACTGCTACATATACAACAAGGTAACTTAGTTGACGGCCGGAGCCATTTGTAACATTAAGTGGTAAATATTTGGATGTATGTCTACTCATTTGCTTCATACGTCTCTACTTATTTGTATCCTTCTGCAGCCTGGCGATGACATAGTCTTAATGGCTGAGGCTCTAGAGAAGGTTTTCCTGCAAAGGATCCAAGAGATGCCTCTGGAAGAAACTGAGATTGTTGTCATGATGGGAAAAGGCCGTGGCCGTGGCCGAAGAGAAGCAGGTGTGTCATTTCTTTCCACTATGGTTTGCGATCAACACATTTTGTTTTTGAGCAAAATGACGTATTTGACGTATGTGAGACATGATATTTATCCACGTGTCTTTTTCTGTCCTCTAGGTCTCAACTTGAAACCAGGGGCCATCATCGATTCATTGCCTACGACTCCTCAAACACGTGGTCTGTCAAATCTCCCAGCAGCGCCGCTGACCAGAGGACCAGTGCCAGGCCCGCCTTCACTACCTCCCCAGCCCTTGATGCAGATCCTGCCGTCCCACGTGCCCCCAATGTTACCCAGCCACGCGCCACAGCTTGGACTCCCCTACTCCCTGAGCCAATTGGACTGCGCTCCTCAAGGTCCCATCATGACTTCTGTGCCGCCCCCTGCTCAAACCTCCCTTCCCCCAGCATCCATCCAGAGCACTGTGCCCATGCTGCAGAACCCTATAACGATGACTAAAGTGAGTTTGAATGACACAGGGAAATATTCATTCATGACAATGCTCTGGAGCATTAGTTGTGACCATTCTTCCTAACCACTTTTTTTTTTGCTCTCTTGCACCATTTCTATGCTTTCTTTGTATTCACCTCTATCCAGCAAAGAAAGAGCCAGAAAAGGAAAGCAGACACTACTACACCCACAGCAAATGACCAACTTAGTGAGTCCTCACCAGCAGAGTCCAAATCTGGGAAGACACTACCAAGGCGAGAGACTAACCGGCCTACAAAGCTGATAAAGAAGGATGTGCCGGACTCCCAGCATCACATAGGAATGGTGATGGGACTCGGTGGACCCAGTGGCGGTCTCAGCCCAAAACCACAGGATCAGCTGGGTTACTGTGCTAGTCTGGTTAGGGACATGTTGTCCAAGAAGCATGCTGCTTATGCCTGGCCGTTTTACAAACCTGTTGATGTGGATGCACTGGGACTACACGATTATCACGATATCATCAAATATCCCATGGACCTCAGCACCATCAAGGTGTGTTGAAGATGTCGTGTATTTTCAGCGATATCACAAGGTTTTTTATAGAGGCTTTGTGGCTTGGCAGGTAATACATATATATCCTTGTGGTATTTAATAGGTGAAGCTGGAGAACATGCAATACCGGGAACCCCAGGAGTTTGCTGCTGACGTACGATTAATGTTTTCCAACTGCTACAAATATAATCCACCGGACCACGAGGTGGTCGGTATGGCTCGCAAGCTACAGGTAAATATAGGCTAACATACAGGTGTGTGTGTGTATGAACTAAATAATGTCCCTCTTTTTTACATTTGCAAGAAACCATTTTTGATTGTATTCAGTTGGTTAAAATTGAGAAAAGAAAGGAATTTAAATTCAGTCCACAGAAGATCACAAATAGTATTGCTTGGATTCTAGTTAACGTGCTGTCAATGTACTTTCAAAATAAAGAAAGGTGAATATGTTTTTAACTATATATGTAATACATGAGTGATTTAAAACTACCCTTGTTGTAGTTATGTTTGGCCATGTTTTCATATGCATATCCGTCCATCATCTCTCAGTTGTTTAGTAATAACGTTAATGTTAGTGTTTGTGGTGTTTTGACTCTCTTCCTACTATCAGACACACACGTTTTGCTTAGCTTCTTTGTCCTCTTTTAATGTTATAGGACGTCTTCGAGATGCGATTTGCCAAGATGCCAGATGAACCTGAGAGCAAGCCAATAGTTTCTGTCCCAGCTCCTACACTTCACCATCCGGCCCCTGTTAAGCCCCAGCCTCCTTTGGCCCACATAGCCTCATCAACAGACAGCTCCAGTGATTCCTCCTCGGAGTCTGAGTCTTCAACAGACGACTCTGAAGAGGAAAGAGCCCAGAGGTTGGCGGAGCTCCAGGATCAGGTCCGTGTCTATAGTAGATGCAAGACGCAAGAGTATTTATTGTCCAATTCTTGTTACAATTTAGTTGAGAACTGGTCTTTTTTCTTGATACAGTTGAAGGCTGTCCACGAGCAGCTGGCTGCCTTGTCCCAACCACAAGCCAGCAAACCAAAGAGAAAGGAGAAGGAGAAGAAAGAGAAGAAAAAAGAAAAGCATAAGAAGAAAGGAGGCATATCTGGCCTCCTAGACGAGATCCAGGATGCTACACCTGTTCCGCAGCTCTCGAAGAAGACAAAGACTAGTAACAACAACAACAAAGAGGTTGTACCCAAGAAGAAACTTAGGTGGGTATTAAACGTGTGTAAACTTTGGACTCCTGTTAGGAGGTTAGTTAGAACACATCCTTGATATTATATATTTATTTTACCATTAGCGTAGCATCACACAGTTCAAATTTACCTATTCTCAATTTTGTATCTACCTTCTTTATTAGTTCATGATTTCACTGTGTATTGCAGGCATGGTTGAGGCTAAATATATAGTTAATAATTATGTCATCTGAGGACACAAGATGTGCTTGTCCTGTTAATTGTGGTATTATAATATGTTTATGTTTAGAGATGGTTGTCTGGCTTATTTATGCTTTACCTCTAGTTGTTAAGATGTGTGTGTTTTGGGATGTAAAGTCTTTGAGCTGTATTTCCAAAGAGTTGCTGTATTGTTAAAGGCTTGTCAGTGTTGCCTATTAACAAATTACACTTTTTTTGTTGTCTTCAGTAAAAAGGAAGTGATGAAAAGCAATCACCCCTCCAGCCTGCTGCCTGTACCCGGCCTGGAAGATGATCTGGGGACAGCTGGGTCATCGGCAACGGGGGAAAAATGCAAACCTATGACGTACGAGGAGAAGAGGCAGCTCAGCCTGGACATCAACAAACTTCCTGGGGACAAGCTCGGGCGTGTAGTGCATATCATCCAGTCCAGAGAGCCCTCACTCAAAAACTCAAACCCAGATGAGATTGAGATTGACTTTGAGACGCTAAAGCCCTCCACTCTGCGCGAGCTGGAGAGATACGTGTCGTCCTGCCTCCGCAAAAAGAAAAAGGTTCAAGGTAGGTAACATTAGGAGTTATTCACATGCGTCCGTGATTTTTAGTTTATTTAGAAATATGGGAATGCAGAGTTTTCCAGTCAAAAACACACGGTTGTTGGTTTGCAGTTGAGAAGCCTGTCGAGTCGATGGCTACCTCCAAAAAGACTGGATCGTCTTCAGAGAGCAGCGCTTCCAGCACAGACAGCGAAGCTGAGGGGACAGGTGACTTACTGCAAATATGGCATGTATTAACATGCCCACACTTAAAAGTGAAGCGCTTGGTCTTAACGTCCCTTCTTGTTTTTTCAGGAATAATAAAGCATCAAAAGAAGAAGGGCCAGTCTGTCAAGGAGGGGAAAAAGACCCATCCTCATTTACACATTCAGAGTGGCCCAGCTCATCTTGGGATACATTCCCAAATTGCAGGTCTTCAGTCCAGCATTCAGATGAAGCAGCAGCCTCAGCCGCCCCCTGGGACCCCCGGCTTTATTAATCCCCCCGTAGCTGCTCTCGAGTCTTCCCAGATACTGGAGACCAGCTTCGACTCCCTACCGCCGTTCGGCCAGCCCCTAATGCATCTATCCCATCAGGCAGGCAACTCCTCGCCCGCACCTCCACACCTCAACGCTCATTCTGCTGGGCCAGTGTCACCTGAGACTCACCCCTTCCTCAACCAACATCCGGTCCTCACGTCTCCAGGTAATGTTGAATTCAGACTTTTGAAAGGTCCGACACTAGTCACTATTTGGGTGTAACTGCTTCCCTCCCAAGAAGAAGGCTGTTTAAAGTCGACCAATCCCCTTTTAGTTCACAAAATTGGTGCACACCTTGCGTATGTACCGACATAGTGAAAATAACAATAAATGGAACGCATAATCATTTAAGACTCCTTGCTCTTGCGACAACCAGCTTTTGATCCTAGGTGAGTGGGTAGTAATAGAGTATTCTATTGATCTGACCTCATGCTTGGCTCTCCGAAGAACACAAATCCTGTCTACTTGTTGGAATATTCCTTTTTTTAATGGGGCTGCTTTACGGGAAATTCCTTTTACTTTCTTTTTACACACATTTTTTGCTGTTCAGAAATATATGTAAATAAGCACTAATTAGTACACTTAGTATCTGTGATATACAATTGGCTTATACTTATAGTCAGATTGATTTACAGGAACACTGGCATTTGCAGATCCCCAAAAATATCTGTGAAAATACACATTTTCAAAATGTAACTGCTCTTTTCCTTTTTTGAGTGAACATTTCAAGAGTTACAAGCACAACAAATATGGTATTCATTATGTCTTATGTCTCTGCCCCCTTTCCTGGAACTGTGCAACCGTAGCTTTGCACATTTCCATGCCGCAGCAGCCTTCTCGACCCAGTCACAAAGCAGCGCCTCTTCATCCCAAACCCCCTCAGCAACAGCCAGCACCCCCTCTGCTGCAGCAGCAGCAGCAGCAGCAGCAGCAGCAGCCAACCCTGCAGCAGCCAGCGCTGCAGCAGCCGCAGCTTCAGCCGCAGCCCCAGTCAGCAGCAGCAGCAGCACCTCCTCCTCCACCACCACCACAGCACCAGCTTCCCTCTCAGATCCTCCACCCTCCTCAGCCCCTGCACCAGCGGCCCTTGTCCCCTCCAACTCTCACACCCCAGGGCTTGCTGTCCTCCCAGCCTCCCCAGATGCTGCTGGAGGATGATGAAGAGCCAGGGTCTACCACGCCTCTGAACCAAGTACAATTATACCTGCAGCAGTTCCAGCAAACCCGTCAGCCCCAGCAATCTATGCAGTCGCTCCAGGCGCAGGTTCGTCAGCAGCAGCAGCAGCAGCAACAGCAACAACAACAACAACAACAACCAGGACCGCTCTCTCTCCTGCAGTCTGTCCAGGGCCAATCTCTACTGTCCCCTCAGACCACACTGCCCCCTCCCCAGATCCCTTTGCAGATCACTCACGCGGCCCCACCGCATCAGGCCCCGGCCCAACAGATGCCTCTTCACCAGGCCCGCCACATGCAGCATCCTCAGCCCCAGCAGCAACAACTTAACTACCAGCATGGTCCAGGACTGGCTGGTCAGTCCCAAGGATCACAACAACAACACAAGATATCCATGCCCACCAACAAAGCACAGCAGATCCTCCAGCAGCAGCAGCAGCAGCAGCAGCAGCAGCAGATCTCCCCTCGCCCAATCAAGGCTGAACCCTACAACGCAGGTTAGTTTAAGCTGAGGGAAAACAAACTAACCGTGTTCCTGATTGTTTAGGAAAAGATTGTTGGAATGCAAATACATAGTTTTGGGTGAAATAGTATGCCACTATTGTCTGTTTGACAGGTCACATGAGGGACAACCCATCTCCTCTCATGATGCATTCCCCACAACTTCCCCAGTATCCACCTGTCTCTCACCAGTCCCCACCTCACATCATGCAGCCCAAAAAGGTGAGAAAACATTCAGAAACTAATAATTGCAGAGGTAATATTATGTCTCCACATCAGTGTTAATTTCGTCAAACGAAAACTATGACAAAAAACTTTCGTTAACGAACCTTTTTTCCATGACTAAGACGTGACGAAAACGATCTTAAAAAATAAAAACTCTGACTAAATCTATTCTAACTTTCGTTAACGAGACGAACATGTTGGTGGTTGACGAAGTCGCGATACTTTCCCCCTAAATTTGCCCGCAGCTGACAGACAACAGACAGGCAAAGTACGGCGGATATTAACTGATTGATTGATTGATTGATTTAGCTGACTGTTAGCAGGCTGAAGCCGCAGTGCTTCACAGAAACATGAAGACCCGTTTAACAGCTCATGGCTGTTAACACGGCTAACATAATAAACTCGTTGTAGGTTCTGAAGCCAAGAAAATAATGTATTGCACCGATTGTAGGACGTTACGGTCTCTTTCGTTGGGACAGTGGAAACAATAAAGGAGCATGAAGTTTCCGGTGTCCATGTCAAAAGCATTGCAAGTAAACAGACAAAGACAACAAAGTGTTGCGTTTAGATCCCTGGTCCTCGTGAAGTTGCTACACCTTTGACAATTTGTTAAATTGCCTTGCAAATAAATGCTTTGCTATTTATTAAAATCCAAATCCTTTCATGTAATGATTTTTTCATGTCATTTATATCAGCTCACACAAACACTTCAACCATTTGTTCTTGGCCCGGCTCCTCCGTCACATTTTACAACCCATTGTGGCCCGCGAGTCAGAATATTTGCCGACCGCTGCTATAGACCTGTCCTAGGACGGACACCTAATGGACAACCAAGTACTGCAAGCTAGACTATTATGCAGTTTTAGACAAGTTGTAGATTAAATGTGACTAAAACTAATTACATTTTAGTCTAGTTTTCGTCGACGAAAACTAGACTAAAACTAAGAAGGATTAAAATGACTAAATGTGACTAAAACTAATTTGCATTTTTAATCTAAAGACTAAGACTAAATCAAAAGTAGCTGCCAAAATTAACACTGCTCCACATGCGTGTATCTGACTTTGACGTCATGTGCGTGTCCTGCAACAGAGGGCCTCTGGGGGCCATGTTGTAATAAAGGAGGAGCAGCTTCCTCCATCACCCGTGGTGAGAGGAGAGCCATTTACCACTGCCATGAGACCGGACCATCATAAACATGCCGACAACAAGCCTTCTCAAGCAGGCCATGGCCAAAAGAGTGAGTCCAGAGACCTCTTGTTTTTTTTTCTCCAGCTTTCTGCACTTAAAATGCCCGAGAAGAAGAGGCTGCACACGATTTTGAGACTGTGTGTGTGTCGTTGTGTTGAGCAGATGTGAAGTCCATGGAAAGCTTGCGACCCGTCATCCGCTCCTCCGAATCCAGTGGACTGTCCTCGTCTCTGCAGGAAAAGGAAAAGTTCAAGCAGGAGTCCAAGGTGCCCATCGCCCCCAAAAAGGTACAGGTGGGTGAAATATTCACGTAGAGAAGAAAAAGACATACACCTCTTTCCGTTCGTGACATTTAAACTTTAGAGCATTAGATCTCTAAGATGTTTGATCGTGATTGCTTGTTTTTATTCTCAGGATGTGAAACTGAAGAATATGGGCTCATGGGCAAGCCTGGCACAAAAGTCCACATCCACACCCTTATCTGCAGTGAAGTCATCCAGTGACAGTTTCGAGCAGTTCCGTCGCGCTGCCCGGGAGAAAGAGGAGAGGGAGAAAGCTCTGAAGGCCCAAGCGGAGCAGGCAGAAAAAGACCGACAACGCAGAGAGCAGGACAAACTACGGTAAGCTTATCCAACAATAATTTGTTTTGAGGAGTTGTCTTTTTGTTTATTTACTCAAGGAATTTAAATAGAGGGGGATTGTTAAATCACGTTGACTTATGTGATAATATGTGTCTGTAGGTTTACAGCAATCCAAATGATAAGAAAAACTATTTTAGGACAAGAACGGCTTGACAACATTTTTGTGTTTGAACATGTGAAAGCACTCGGCAGAAAGGGCTTAATTTTGTCAATGCTGGGCTCATGTGGTTAATGCTTCAACAGACCTCAACTGCTTCAAGAAGTCAAATATTTTAACGCTGATTCAAACATTAAACACACAGCCGCAGTTGTAAACTTGAGATCCAGGCTGTGAATGTATTTTGATCAGCTGCCTTGTGATAGAGATACCAGCGAAAACACTGTGAGGTGATGTATTATGCCCTCTACTGGCAAAATTGTAGGACCACCACAACCTACTGCAGGCACGAAAGACGACTTCTGGCCACTCCGTTTTACTCATGCATGTAATACCCGCTTCATCTGAACCTGTCAGAGTAATGCTCTTTAATAGGACACTGATCCTCAAATATACCGTGATTATTAAACCCCTCAGTGCGTACACAACATGGTCAAAAAGCTGAGGCTGACCCTTTATTTAAAAAAAGTTTGGAAGAGTGTAATTGGCCACCTGACGTTTTATGCTGCTGTGGGCAAGGTCATTTAAAGCTGGGCTGCTTTGCATTGACACACAGTAGACTTTTACTTTGGCTGGATGACGCAAAACTAATTAGAGAGAGAAACCAGCCACTGTGCCTGTGACACGTCCAGGATGAAACCAAATGTGGCCCCCTTTAGCAATGTGACATGTATTTAGTTCCACCTGATGCAAACTACTGGCCTGAATTCTTGCAGAGGTCGAGACGAGGAGGACATCATGGAGCCGAGCAGGAGGGTGAACGAGGAGCCGCGCAGACGTCTGGAGCAGCAACACATTCAAGCTCCTTCGCAGCAGCAACAGCAGCAGCAGCAGCAACAACAACAACAACAACAACAACAGCAGCAGCAACAACAACAGCAGCAACAACAGCAACAACAACAACAACAACAACAACAACAGCAGCAGCAGCAGCAACAACAACAACAACAATTACTACAGCAGCAGCAGCAGGAGCCGCAGCCAGCTGCCGTTCAGCAGCCTCCTCAACCCCCAACGCCGCCTCAGCCTGCCGCACAGAACCCACTTGACCAACAGAGGGAGCTAGCACGCCGCCGGGAGCAGGAAAGGAGGAGGCGAGAAGCGGTGAGTTGGTTCTCCTTGAAGCTCTTTAAGCCTCGGCTATTCTCTGTGCTGTCCGTACACAGGCTGCCGCGGACAACACCGATGCCACTGGTTCTTTTCATACAGTCCGCTTGGAGGAAACAGGCTTTAAATCACAGCGTTACCACATTGTAGCCAAACATTTTGACATCAAGCCACGCTTCTTACTTTGTGTATATGAGAAACTTTCTCATTCAGCAAAAAAAGGCACAAAAAAAACGCTCCGAAATAATTAACGCAATGAAAACGCTTATTTGTTTTCTTTTCTCTCTCCAGATGGCGGCAACTATTGACATGAATTTCCAAAGTGACTTAATGGCTATCTTTGAGGAGAACCTATTTTGAGGACAGGAGCAACTGAAACATAACTGCAAAAAAAGGAAAGAGAAAAAAAAAAACAGCAAAAGACGTAACTTCCTCTGAGGAGAGATTTGACGCACAGAGGGACACGGACCGGACGTACGCGTGACGGCGCCTCGGACGGAGAACAAACGCTGGACGGGCGCTCGCAGGTCGCTTTGTGTCCGTGGACTCGAGAGAGACACACACACACACACACAGCACGCGGGGATGGTCTCTCCCCCCGTTTCGGATGTCATATCCTGGGAGCACGGCGCGGTATCTCGCAGGGGAAAGAGGACCCCCAGTTGGCAGAGTGGCCTTTGTCACTTGCTTCTTTCGGCGCGTGTGGCCACAACAATGAAATGCAGGAGGAAGGACGTCCCAATAACTATGAAATGCTCTGATAATGTACTGACAGACTGTGCAGAGTTGTTTTGCAACTGCCAGATATGTGAGGTGGTGAAGACGACCGGCTTTTTATGTTCCCTTTTGTTTTGTTTCGATTGTTGTAAGTAAAGGTTGGGAAGGGAGGAGGAGAGAAGGGGAGGGCGGCGGCGGCGGCAACTTCCATACTGTAAATCATGTATATTTCTCAGCAGAGAAGGTACAGTTTGCCTTACACTTCTTTCCTAAACAGGCGATTGTGTTCTGTGGCCTGCATACATTTACAGACAGGAGTAGGAGCACTGCAGACCTTTTTTTCCCCCCCATCATCTAGTATCTACTGTAAAGAAGTATTTTCTTATACTACAATAACTTCATTTTGCGTCTTTCTTTTTTTCCTCTTTTGGTCTTTTAAATCTCCATAGATCACAGTCCGCCACCTCTGTCTATGCCAAACAAGTCACTATATTTTATGCTAAATCACATGTCCTAAATCATGGTGGGTAGCTAGTAACAAAAAAAATAACCTGAATATATGCATTATCATATTTCCAGCAAGTATTTATCAAACACAGAATAAGTTAACGTTTTCTTCCTGCCTTGTATTTCTCTTTTACAACTACAACACGAGCTTGTTCGCAGAGAGGGAAGGTCCAGCCGTTTCTCAGCTTTACTTGGAATATGATTTCACTACACGCGTCGCGTCGCGCCGCGCTTTGTGTTACACTTTGAGACACGACGCTGGGAGTGTTGATGTCGTCGGCGCGTCGGCAGCAGTGGCTCTGCAGGTTCAGTTAAGAAACGCATAGAAGAGGACCTCCTGCGCTCCGCTCCGAAAATGCTTGATCCGACGTCCACAGCCGGAGTGCTCGAGGCAGGAAGGGAACGATTAGTGGAACGAGACCAACACTTTCCACTGTTGTCCCCTCAATCGGGTTTGGCAAAACAAAATGAAACGGCGGAAGGGAAAGAGCGTCCGACTTGTCTTTAAATCCAGCGAGGACACACCGTCAACAACACAAAATGAAGAAAACAGAAACAAACAGTTTAGAAACGAAAATCTCTGAAATAACAGTTTTGATTTCACTTTGTTCTTGTTGGATAATAGTTGATGTGAGTTTCTGTTCTTGGAGACAAAGTTTGGACCGGGGACGGGTTGAATCTGAATGCGTCTCGTCCTCTTTACTTGTCTCTGTTATGGTATTTTTTTTCCAGTGCCTGTATTGTATTGCAATTCTCGTTGGCATATATTACACTTCGAGGGGGTTTACAAAGGGGTCCGGTCAGGATTGGGTGGTGTAATATTTGAACGGGGAGGGAGATTTTTGAAAGAGTTTGTGTAAAAAAAAAAAATACAAAAAAAATACAAAAAAAAATACAAAAAAAGAAAGGAAAAAAGAAGGAAAATACAACGTTTTATATTTTACCCCTTGTCAATATTTGGGTTTTAAATTTAGTTTTAGCTGGACTTCTGAGTGTACACATCTGAAAAACTACTTTTGTCATTTTGTTCAATCAGCAGATTTTAGGTAGTTATGTTTCAGCGTTGCCACACTAGCGTTGGACTCTGGCCTGTGAGTGTGACTGTAAATTTGGACGGCTGTGTGACTGTATGTGTTTTGTTATTGTTCTCTTTTCTTTCTTTTTCTTTTCTTTTTGTTAAAGTGTGGTGCGGGAGACATTTTCTCCGATGCAGATAAGCATTCTATGGATGAGAATAAACAGATTAACCGTACTTCAGGAGAACTTGTTTCAGTGCTTAAGTCACCTTTTTCATTTCAATGAATTCCACCATATATGAAATATAGCATTTTTATTGTTAGACTGGTTTTGAAAGGGTAAAAAAATAACTTCATTCCTTTTTAGCCTTTTTTTTCTTTTTCACAAAAACTGTTAATGTGCCATGAGTTCTACAGAGAATGTGCTGACCTGCAGCTCAGCCCAGAGTTTGCTTTATTCAGGTATTTTATTTTGTGTTACATTTTGTTCTGTTTTGGGGGTTTTGTTCATACATTTTCCTCGATTTATTGTTTGGTATGTGAGTGATCTATCGAGGTCTCTGATTCAGTCTGTTATGATCATTGAATAAACTCATCTCTTTTATAGAAAATAAAAAAATATACTAAAATCTGGAGTTTTTTGCTGGTTTCTTTTGTGAAACCCCCCTTTACTGATTTATTATTCATCCATTCTCATTTAGGAGCATTCTCAAGACAGTTTTATAGTCATTGTTTTACAAATGCCAACTGCACTTATAATACAAATGGGCTAATAACAAATGCAGCTTTGACAAAACCTTTATTTTTTTTTAAATGCTATACTATGCTTTTCTTGTTAATAGTTGACATGCTACAATAATCATATTGTAGCTATTACTTTTTTGAGACACTACTTTTTTTTACGTATTTTTCCAATAAAACATGACTTTTCAATGCCTTCTTTTAACAAACTGCGATGTTTCATGAACTTCTTCCACATGCGGTACTATGACTTTTTATACTATACTATACCAGTGGTTCTCAAACAGGGTTGTGACAAAATGTAATACAACTGATAGGTGGAAAAGTAAAGCAATATGTACATATTTTCTAAATAAAACGTTTTTATTGAGTTTATGTATTATAGTGCAATAAATTCAAAACAAAGAAGGAACAACCCTATTTCTTTGCTATTTCATGCGCTTTTGAAAAAGAGATTGATGTGACTTAGTTACCTTTTTCTAGATGCTACACTATTAATTTGTCTTGCTATAATGCTATAATGACTCTGTCTGACATTTTAGACATGCAATATCACTCTTTTCCTGACGTTATTCTGTGACTTTTTGAGAAATTACCTAACTTTTTAAAAGGTTTTTGACATTATTTTAAACTACTTCTTTTGACTTAGTTTTTCCTTTACTTTTTTGTCCTTTTTCTATGACCTTTTTTTCCAACAACTACAGGTATAAGCTTGACAATTCATTGATAGTTTGATTATTACTAAATGAACAATACATTTTTTCTCTCGTTGTCACAGCTATAGATAATGAAACTGCTAATTGCTTCAGAAATAATACTGATGCTTTGTTTGGCCATTATTGGCCAGTGTTTTGCCCATCTTTACACACTTACAAAATATTGGAAACACTGGTTCCTCATTCAATGTTTTATTTTGATGGTATTTTTAGCCTTCATATTGATAAAACAATATTTAATTCTTTGTTCTGTGGTAAATATAATAAGATATAGTGAGATAAACATGATAAGCATGCTATAACCATCTAAGACCATTTAAAATCCGACTTTTGTTTTATAAGACTAGTTTAAAATGTACATTTAGATTCGTGGGTGTTGGCTGCCCTCTAGTGGCCATAATGGAGAATTACGTCACATACATTTCCTGTCAATGTAAAATGAAATACAAACACAAACCTTTTGGGAATTTAACGAAATCAGCATTAGAAAATTCTAAATAACGAGCGCATGTGCCATAAACGGTTAACGATGCAAATGTTATCTCTATGAACGAGTTATTATTAGTGTGATTATATAGATTTGCTATAATTTAATCGTTATTCAATTAATTTGCACTTTGCACTACTCAAAAACAATTCAACAATTCAATAACATCAAACTGTGACAGCAAAAAAATGATAACTTAATCATAATTATAATAATTCATAATTTTCCCTCTATCCAAAGACCTCTACAACCTCCCTTAGAAATAAATTAATACGGGTAAAGTTCTAACCTTGTAGTTAACTGTTATCTACTAAATACTTTAAGGCTGTGTTTTATAGATTATTTGAATTCCAAAGGTGATGTCGTGGAGACTTGCCTTTGTATAGTTGGTGTGGCAATTATCAATACTTAACACATTAAATAACACAATATTAACATAGAATAGCTGTCGTAACTATGGTTGTCATAAATATCCGACTTAACACGTCTGAAAGTTGAGACGGTTCTGGTTACTTTATTCTGTCATTTACCTGAAAAACTATTGCTGTAAATTGTGTGCATTGACGCACGTGTGACTAAAAGTAATACTGCAGTTTCTCGTTTTAATTCTAATCACATATTCAAGCTAACCGGCCACTTTACACAAAACGAGGCATTTACTCTCATATATATATATATTGTTAAATATACTGCAATATTAGAAACGTAATGTAGTTATTTCATATTACCACAAGAGGGCAGAAGATACTCGAGTCTATGAGTCTGTTCTAACACATCAAAATACTCCAACTAGCATCGAGGCATTTTTTATAACCGTTTTATGATATACAATTCTCTAACTATAGACGATATAATAATGCTTTTTTTAATGGCATATTATATGGCATATGGTATTTCTTTACATAAATTACAATGGCGTTTCACTTTTATGATTTATCATTTATTATCGCATAGCATACTATGCGTTGGTGACATTGTGATATGTTTATTACTACTTATAAAACATGAAAGTATAGGATGTTATAAAAAGGGCATACCAAAATGCATAAATGACACTGCTATGACAAATGACTGTGGAAAGGTTCATGGTATTTTATAACCAGCTCTACTATTGTGTGTATTATACTTTTCATTGCATGCTTCACGCTTTTTATGAGTGAGGATTTGGGTCAACGAATGTGACGCACTGCTGAAGTTCCCCCCGGTGGCCACAGGGGGGCAGCATTTACCTGTTGTCCACCAGCCTCACGACACACACACAACTAACTACTTTTCCGGCAAATACCTTCACAATAAAAGTATCAGAAGACAACCGTCCAACGCTACACAATATCCCATACTTTCAGATGATGTAATATTAACACTGTCGCGATATAAATCGTTTTCTCCCCGCTAAAAAAAACATAATGAGCGTTTATTGCGAACGGATCTCTCTCGCGTTGTCCGACTTTTTTGTACGTTCTTTTGCCGTATGCTCCTCCTCCTAAAAAAAAAAAAAAATACTACGAGTTCTGAAACCCATTGTGTAAATTCCTCTTCACCCCCACACATTTCCGGCTGCGGTGATCCAGCGCAGCTACCTGTCGGGTCCAGCTGATCTGAGTGAGAATGATTCAGTGAGGCGGCGACTCGGAGGAGAAGTCAACCGGGACAGAAGCTCAGAGGCGTCGGTGTTTCGCTGCACGGCAGCTGTCGACTCCGGGCTCATGTCGGGACCGTCTGGATGGAAGAAGCTCTGAACAGGCGGTGGGTTTCGGTCTTGTTCGGCAGAAGGTCTGAACAAGACCCTCAACGCGGGAGTTTCCTCTTTGAGACATTAAGTAGCAGCAACTCGTTGAGACACGTGACATGAGCTCAAATTGTTATTATGTCTGTTATTTGTTGCCCCGGAATGCAGACTAAATCAATATTGAATTGTTTTTTTAGCTTCGACTGCTTGGTAAATATTACTCTAGCAAATTGCTTCAGCCGTTCAAAGTCTGAAGGGCTGCTGTCGTTTCCTTTTTCGGAAAACTGAATGGGCAACTTCCTTTCACGCCTTTTTCGAAAATTCGAATAATAATTGGTAAAGTCTGATGCTTTAAAAAAAACATTTTTTGAAATAGGTATCTTATGCAGCCCGATGTTATGTTGTTGTGTTAAATGTATTGAGTTGAGTGTATTGAGTGAACAGCAGGTGACTTTAAATCGACAGTTGAGTCTTTTTTAAATTAAAAAAAAAAAAGTTATAACATCCAATTTCTTAAAATGTCAAAAAGATTAAACTGTCATTATTCAATTACATTACATAATTACGTTACCTGTGTGCTGGATTTGCACGCTTCGTACTGATTGAATAGAGTTTTGTACACATAGAGTAGACGCTATACGTGTCCTAACACTTCAGCGCTGCGTCTGCAGTTCCGGCCATGGAGAGCAGTGTGTCGAGCACCTGCGACTACAGCCACAATGTCACCTTCTTCTACAACCTGGTGGGCAAGAAGATCAGCGCAGAGTGGACGACCAGGGACTTTCTGGTGATCGGCCTGGGCCTGACGGTGTGTGTCATCGTGGTCTTGGCCAACCTGCTGGTGATGGTGGCCATCTCCAAGAACCACCGCTTCCACTTCCCCATCTACTATCTCCTGGGCAACATGGCCGCGGCAGACCTGTTTGCAGGCATCGCCTACGGCTACCTGATGCTGCACACGGGCCCGTGGACCGGCACGCTCTCCAAGGAGCAGTGGTACATCCGCGGGGCCTTGATAGACATCAGCCTGACGGCCTCCGTGGCCAACCTGCTGGCCGTCGCCGTGGAGCGCCACCAGACCATCATCACCATGCAGCTGCACAGCAACATGACCAAGCGGCGCGTGGTGCTGCTCATAGTCTGCATCTGGGCGGTGAGCATCGCCATGGGCCTGGTGCCGTCCACCCTGTGGAACTGCGAGTGTGATCTGGGCGACTGCTCCACCGTCGCTCCTCTGTACAGCCGCCGCTTCCTCATCTTCTGGGCGGTCTTCAACCTGCTCACTTTCCTCGTCATGGCGGCCGTGTACACGCGCATCTTCGTGTACGTGAGGTACGAGACGTGGAGCGCGTCGCGTCACACCACGGAGATGCGGCACCGGGAAACTGTTGTCAACCTGATGAAAACCATCTCCATGGTCCTGGGTGAGAAATATACATCGACTGTTTCTGCCAAACATATGGCAGCTTTTATTCATTTTATCTCTCTCAAAAGAAACTTTTAAAGTCTGATTCCCAATTTTCAGCAGTTTCTCTGAAATTAATGTTCAACGGCTTTAACATGAATTCCACTTGCCACTTGTGAGTAACAAAGGAAATTGGGCCTTTCGAAGGTAGTAATACTAAATGTGCTTAGATGTTACGCAATCTATGCGCCCTACCCGCAGCTTCCTTTGTCATTTTTCTTGTTTTTCGGTTTTCTGATTGTGACATTTAAAAACAAAACAAAGGTTAGGTTGATTGAAATTTCTCGTACTCTTTGCCTCCTTGAGCCAAATCCTATTTTAACCGACGGTTAACCTCAACATTGAGCAACCACGGGTCAAAACATGAACCAATGTAGCTACACTTTAGAAACTGGCGCTGTACGAGATTTCTGCGTCCCGAGTAAGACGTGAGTTTATTTGTTGTTCGTCGTTAACCAGCCACGTGCATGTGCGCAGGCGCCTTCGTCATCTGCTGGCTGCCCGGGCTGGTGACGCTCCTGCTGGACGGGCTGCTGGGGGCCGCCGGCCACGCCAACGCCTACGAGAAGTTCTGCCTGGTCATCGCCGAGTGCAACTCTCTGGTCAACCCGATCATCTACTCGCTGCGGGACGACGAGATGCGGCGGACGTTCAAGTGGATCCTGTGCTGCCTGTGTGGGCGAGGCGGCGACCGGCGGAGGGAGCGGTCGCCCGTCGGGAACAACTCCCCGCCGCCGCCGGAGGTAACGGCAGCCCGCCAAACGTAAACCGCACACCCTCAGAGCACTTTTAGATTAACCAAAAAAAAAAAAAAGGCCCGCGTTCCACCGCTCCTTGAGTTTCTGCCCCTCGGTGAGTCACGCAGGGTTTCACGTCCCGCACCAACAAACACGCTGATTTGAATCTGAGGTTTCTGGTATGTGGTACCTGCCGCCAGTTAGAACCTGCAAATTCCTCCCCTCTGTTTCTGGGCATTGTTTTGTTAAGTGAAGACTACTTTTCTCGTAAAAGGGTGGGGGGGGTTGTAATGAATGTTGAGTCAGTGGGATTTATAACCCGTGTCCTTCATGTCCTGTGTTGCTGAATAGCAGTTGTGTTCCGTCCACAGGAGACTGTTGGCTGTGTCCGGAAGTTTGAAGATCAGCTTGTCTGTATGGAAACGAACAACGAAGGAGACCGTTGGACGATGCCGGGGGTATGATGGCCTTCAGGACAAACCCCTCTCAACCCTTTACTGGCACGCATTGTATACAACTGAATGAAAAATGTCTATAAAGATGTATCTCTTTAAAAGCTTTTGTGGGACGGATTCACATATTAATCATCAGATGGTGCAATCTCTCCTTTTTATTACGTTCGACTATCACATTTGTGACAAATTATAAAATGAAACACTCGTAATATCTGAAATGAAAGACTGAAAAAGAAAAAATAAAGGAAAAAAAAAATCACACTAAATCATTTTATTAATTTTCTAATAACACTACAGTTTGTCATATTCTTCCTTTTTGTTTTACTCTTTCTAGAACAATTCTAAAGTTGAGGTATAAAAGGAGTTCATACAGACTCACAGGTCTGAAAACAGTGGGGGTTATATACAAGAGAAATGGAAAGACAGAGGTAGAGAGGGGTAAATACAAGGGGAAGAGGAGAGATACAAATATACTAATGAAAACAAAGGTTTCAGAAACCATTTGGTGCTGTGGAAGTATTTGCCACTTACGATTTAAACATTAACAGTAAAATAAAGTCTGGTTATATATATATATAAAGTCAAGTGTATATGCATGAATATTATTGCAGTAGTTATTTTTAAAGTGGGGAATGACAAATTGTAAACCATTGGCTTTACTGGGAAAGTTTGTCCTCTGCTCCAGGTGGCAACTAAAGTAATTAGTAAAATATAATCACGTCCTTTCAGCTGGATGTGAATGTACGGTAACAGAATTATACATTGCGAGCTCAAATACATTTCCTCATCATGTACTGATACATTTCAAGTTCTTTGCCCAATAATTAACCACATTAAATGTACCTATTCAATAGTTTCTAAAACATTTAGCCACCTCTGATCTCAAAATATTGCTGCGTGTGGAAAACTGCAAAAACTGAAGCTAATAGGATCCATAGATCTATATGGCAAAATACACACAATAGTCCATCCACAGCACCAACGGGTACGTCTGTAAACCCCACATTGCCACCCGGTTATGTAACAAAAGTACTAAATAATATTCAAAATTGATAGTTATTGTGAATCCTGTGACAAAGGCCAAATAAAACTGGCATCGCAACCAAAACATCAAAGTTTATAAAAGAAGAAAAAAAAAATACTGAAACATTACACAAACTGTACAGTGACATCCATTACAACAGGTAGAAAAAGGAAGGGGCATGATCATTTGGTGTGGCGATAACGTTATAAGATACAGTCGTATGAACTGCGATGAGTAAAAACAAGTAAATAGATGCAGGATATCACATGTGAGCAGCTCATGAGCTTTTGTTCTGTAACATATGGTCTCGACTGACACTTAAATCTTCATAAGGCTTTACCTTACTATCAAAATGCTTTGTTATTCACATAACCGTTAATGTATAAAAAAGTTCCAAAGAATTAAAATCCCCCCCAAAATGTAGCATGTTGGTCTTAAACACGAGTCAAGAGTTGTACTACACTTAGCGCTTCCTCTTTTTTTTGGTAACAGAGAGAAGCCGTCGCCCAGCTGGCCACATAAGTAAAAACTAGATATTTGTGGGTTTACCGGAAGGTATTAAAAGGAAGAGTGAGGGGGGGGGAGGGAGGATCCCTCCTATGCTCACAATCAAATGACAGGCCTCACTCCATCCGTCCCCCCCCACCTCCTCCACAAAAAAAGCTTGAGTTATGACAACACCACACAAGAGACATAGATACAAATATAATTCCCTCCTCTCCTCCAACTGAAAAGGTTGCTGTGCACCGACTTTAGAGAGACACACACACACAGAGTAGCATTATTACATCGCTGAACGTGGCATTTTTGGTTTTTGGTACAACAGAAGGTTGCAGTGTGTCGCCGTGGGCTCACCAGCTTATAAAGTTTTTCCACACGGGGCGATCTGAGCTGAAGCCGGCGAGTCGTTGGCTGGCGGCGAGCAGCCGCGCTCTCCGACGCTGACTAAAGGTGAGAGGGCCGGTTAGACCAGGACGTCCCAAGAACACTGTACACACGCCCACACAGAGACACACACATCAGAGCAATACATGATGCACTTTTCCTTTTTGGTCTGACTGTAATAATTATACCCTTTATTCTTTTTTTTTTTGTTAATAAAAACGAAGCTAGAAACTTGGAAGGTTAAATGAAAACAATAATATCACGCCTAAAAGTCCTACATGCATGGAAGACAGTCACTTTTCTAAATTCATGTCACATTTGTCCCCCAATAACACATCAATGCCCCACAATCTTTCCACCCTCCTAACGTCATCCAGATGCTTTATTGAGCTCATTTTTGGTGGCGGCTGGTGCATTCTTGGTGAAACAGCATTAGAAAATAGCCTACAATCAAATAAACTAGTGGACAGAAAGCAAGAAGTAAAGTCTACAAGCCATCTACCAACACCCCCTATTGGTTAGCAACAAAAAGGGCTATTAGTTACATCCACTCAACCAAAGATATTCTCCTCTCTGCCCTTCCCCCCTCCTCCTCCTCCTCCTACCAGCCCTATTATCACCAGCTCCTCCTGGTTTAGAACAGTGATCTCCTTTACTACCCTTTCACAGGTAGAGACACCCATAACAAGGATGCTAACTGTTGTGCTCGACACATCTTTTGTGTCAGCCCACTATGAAAACGACGATGAAAGGTTGTGGTGTGTGTGTGTTATGGATCTCAGTTATTCACTTATTCACAAGCCATAAAGGACTCCAGGGTATTTCAGTGTCTCGTGTTTGAGTTGGCAGAGGGTGATCTCGTAGGGACAGATGTTGAGAACTACTTGGGCAGCACTTTGGTAAGAGCAAGGTGAGCAGAACTCCCCCGGTGATCCGTATCGATAGTTTGGCTGTCAAACGCAGAGGCTGCAAGAGATACAGGCGATCACGCACAGTTTTCCAAAGCAAAGGGCTGAGTGTGGAGGCCGACGGCACATGGATAAGCGGTGGGAGTACTGTGTGAAGTTAACGTGCATATACACAATGTGCAGACATCGTGACCATCTACGCAGCTGGGTCAGTGGTTTTCAAAAGGTCCGTGATAGTAAACAGGTTTTTTTCTTATCAGTCTCAGCATCAGTAAGCTCCACCCCGGCCTTATTCGGAGTTACGGAGCTTCGAGCATTGAAGTGGAGCTGTTGGGAGGAGGGAGAACTCCTAACTGCTCTGCCGCTGTCCCAGCACAGTGTGTGTGTGTGCGTGCGTGCGTGTGTGGGTGTGTGTGTGTGTTTTTGAAATGCAAGCACGGCCATGTGCTGCTGTCCAGTTGAGAGACGAGGGAATAGAGAAAAATTAAGACAGAAGATGGTGGTCGGAGCGGACCGCAGTGGAAATGCAGCGATGGCCGGGAGAGCCACCGAATCAATTGGAGGTGTCGGAGTGGACGCTGCCAGGAGGACCGGGGGGAGAGGTGACCGGGTGGGGGTTGGTGGTGTCCTGCCAGCTGTTAGCCTGCAAACAGTCAGAAAGCAGAGTGTTCTGCATGAAGGCGTTTTAGAACGAGCTTAGTGATCAGCTTTATTTCTGCTTACAGGCTAAATGATGCAGCTTTAAGATGGCAAACTGGCTGGGGCCCAATGATCTTAGCCACGCGGAAAAACATAAGGAATCACGGAATTTAATGATAGGAATGACATTGCCGTTGGCTCGGCACTCGCTGTTCAATGACGCGAGCCGGGAGGCTTGTGGATGCATCATCAGGCAGCTAAACGCGTGACCTGTCGGCGAGCTGCGGCCAACGAGAGCGTGAGACACGCCGAGGGGACACCGCTAAAATTAGATTATAAAATAAAAACTATTGAACCACTGACTCTTATTTGAAATATTTTCAGTATTATTAAAATTGTCACAAAATGCGCTCACATTTACAAACAACTAAATTCAGAACAATTTAAATGGCAAACACAGAATCTGGTACACTTTCAACAGTTTTTATCGGGCCCTCCTTTAACTAATGGGTACAGATAAAATCGCTATTATTTCAACCGTGTTTTAAGCAATAAAGTAACCACTTTACTCAAAGAGTATGTATGCATGCATTTATATTCATACAACTGGTTCTCTGTTTCGCTCAGGAGAAATCTAGTGGAGATTATTTCGGTTCTTTTTTTTCTTATCTACTTCCCCAATCAAGTGCATGCAAACATTCAGTTATTATAATGTTTTGAACGGTTTCAATTACATTATTTCAGTGTGCCATTTAAATAATTGCTAAATGGAACGTAGATGTAAAAGAAATAATCAAATCCAAGCAAACTGATTAAAGCATATTTATGGTATTCATGGTTTATAGTATCCAGGGTGTTAATGCAGACGTATTAATCAGCTTTAGTTTCTACTCACATCCAGGCAATGAGGGGTGTAGAGGCCACTACCCGACAGCTCCTCATAGCCGCCCGTCAGGTGTGTAGCACGGTGCAGGGTATCCACCTTCAAGAGACCAAACACACACAACATGTAGCAGTTACTCAACTTCATCTTAACCACAGCCTGGACCGAGGAATGTCCTCAAATATCTGCTTGGTGCTTTAGAGCCGCTCAGTTTAACGGACCGCTCTGCTGCTAGTGACCTTGTTTTGATTAATAACGGTTGTTATTCAGTCAGTGCAATCACTGAATATTGTTGCTTGCCTCCCCTATTAACGTCACGACTCTCGATTAAAACAGTGTTAATCTAATTTAAACAAAATGACAGACTGCAACTGAACTACAGTCTTGTATTGTGGTTTAGGATTTATCTATTTTCTATATTGTGCTAAACAGCAGAAATATGTGAACTCCTCCAGAAAAACATGTTTGAGGACATCTACATTAGATGGGGAACATAAGGAGAGATAGGATGGAGCAATGTGTGGAAAAGGAAGGAAAACAAGGACTACAAAGGCGGGGGGGGTGGAGGATATTCCAGCTCGATGTTGACAACTACAAGCGTCTCGGGGACGGCCTTGGGATCTCTAGAAGAACGTACAACAAACTGACATTACTCCTCTAGAGTGGAGCCATAAGCCTCTCAGGGCAAAGAAGGGTTGTGTGTTTTCTTCGGGTAGGAGTGGACGGGGTCACGGGTAAAGTCAGGACGGGATCTCAGGGCAAAAGGAGCTACGCTAAGGGTAGCTATCCAGGGATTCTGGGTGGGGGGGGGGATCAACGGCATTGAGGTCAACTCTTCAGCCGTCCTCAGTGCATACCTGCGGCTGTAGAGAGGGGGCGATGTTGAGACCCTCCCCGTTGAGGGAACGCAGGCTGAGGTAGGCGTCGCCTGTGTTAGGCAAACTGTATGACACCGGTGACCCTGCAGGCAATATGTATATAAATATATCCAATATCCAATCAGCTCAACCACAGGGTCAAAAGGTCACCACTGGTCATGGACATAGACTGAAGAAGAACATTTTAATAACCAGCTTCAATATACGGGTCAATGTTCTCAGCCAGTGTCATTCATCATTTTACAAGCCTGAAGGACTGACTTCAGCTGCACACAGCAACTGCTTAAATGTGTGCCAGCTGGAACAAAAAAAGAACAAAACAAGACATAAGGAGGGGTTTCAAAAGTCAAAAACATAATTTACAGCTGCAGAACCTTCTCTGTGGATTACACTTTGGGGTTTGTATAAAGGAAAAGTTAAGGTGACGCGTTTGGGTTTCCAACAATTGGTGGTTTTGTCCATCGTCGTTGGCTAAAGTCCAGTCGGCTTGGCATTAGTGGCCGACACGAGGGGGTTTCACTTTGTGGGAGAATAAAGGCTGCAGTAAACAGACCGACAGCAGGATTCATTGCTTGTGTTGACGTCAGCTTTATCCACATTCAAATCCCTTCCCACATGAAATAAATGTTTACAACAGAAAGAATTTTCTTTGTAAAGAGAGATAAGATGTACAAAGTGTTTATATGTCTTTAATTATCTGGTAAACATTTGCATACGGTTATTCAGTGAAGTGATTCAATCGGGAGAACCATAAAAGTCATATTGCATCCTTTGCACGTCTCGCACCATAACCATATACATTTGGTTTGATGCACAAAATAAACCGTTTTAACTAAACATAAATTCACTAAGGGCCATTGCACACATGTGCTCATTAGTGACTCACTCTTACTATCTTAAAGCTTTCCGGTTTTCGTGGTCCCAGAGGAGGAAAACGATAATGTTTCCGAGCACCAGAGTCCTAAAATAAAGGGTCAGACAGTCTATCCCGGACAGTCCTTTGTCTGGCTCCCTTGTGCCGGGACAATACATTACAATCATTTCCTATTTTGTTATTCAGAATTATTATTTGATGCCAATAATTGAGAGCAAGTTTGCTGACAGAATGTGAAAGTGGGCCCCAACATAAACAGCTGCCCTACTTAAAATGTAAAGATTCATTTTGGTCCAATGGGATTCAGCGGTGTGTCAGACGGCCAGTATGTGTAGAGGAACTGAAAGTTGTCAATAAGAAGTAGTAGTTGTGCGTGGACAAAGAGGAGCACGTAGTACCTGAGTTCGGTGTTGCCGGAGAGTTTGCCTGGCTGGCCTGCGCAGACACATTGGCAGCATCCACCGCCGTTTTGACTGCGTAGAGGTTCGCTTCCTCCTGGAACTTACCGATGTTCTTCTTGTAACGTATTCTCTTGTTGCCAAACCAATTAGAGACCTGGGGGACGGATGGATATCGGATATTCAAATTCTGTGTTTTCTTTGCCTGATCTAGCTTTTGCAACCCCCCTCATAATAGACATATCATCTAGTTCTAGTTCCTCTATTCAGCGTTCTAAAAAATGAAACAGCAAAATGAAACAGCATTTGAAAAGATGCTATAAAAGGAAGTAGTGAAACGGATCTTGAAAAAGAGACGTAACATCAGCTTCAAAATGGTCCTGTATACTAGCGGTGCCCGCAATTCACCTGAGACACAGTGATCCCACACTTTTTGGCCAGTTCCTCCTTGGCTTCCTCGCTGGGGTAAGGGTTGGACAGGTGAGAGTAGAAATACTCGTTCAGCACCTCTGTGGCTTGCTTGTTGAAGTTGCGCCTCTTGCGTCTGACACACACACACACAAAGAGGAGAGATTAGGAACAACAAAGTATTGAATGGTGAGTCTTACAAAAAGTCAACATGCTCAGATCACTTCGTCACTCATAGAAAGAATCTGTCATTACACACACACACACACACACACACACACACACACACACACACACACACACACACACACACACACACACACACACACACACACACACACACACACACACACACACACACACACCTGGCGTCAAGGAAACGTGAGCGCAGAATCATAACGGCCTCGCAGGTGCTCTGTTTGAGCTGCATCTGAATGGAGCTGAACTTGCGGTGGATGATGGCCACCATGCGCTCGATCTCCTTGGGAGAGATGGGTCGCGTGCGAGACTGCTCCCTCAGCAGGTTCATTACATGGTTGGTAAACTCGCTGCAGGCCTGGACCAAAGAGAGAGAGAGAGAGAGAGGGAGGAGGAGTTGAACACCACCGTAAAAAGATTCTGTCTAGTGCCATGACATGGTTTTGATGAGGACATGCCGCGGCTGTCTGACTCTTCGGAGTCCTGTCATTGATCCTTCATCTTGTCAAAGAAATATCACAACACTTTTCTTGTGAGTGTAGTAAAACTAAAGCCAAAATACAGAAGTGGTTCTCAAAACCACAACAGTAATACACCAGTATGAGTGATAAATGACTCATCTTGTGACAGGGTGAGGCAATGTTTGTTTATAACAACAATGAACTATTTGCATGTGATTCGATTTATTCCATTGTATACTCTAAGTAAAGAACATTGTAAAGGTCTTTAGAGTACATATGCAGGCACAATGAGAAGGGAAGAGTCCAGATGCTGATTCAAACTAGACTGAAGCATTTGTTGTCAAAGAGTATCTACTGGCTGGTGAAAAGTTGAAGTAACCTTGAATACTCTTTGTTTGTATGAATGATACCTGCAGACTCTCAGTTGCCACAAGCCTGATGTGCTTAATGTTCCCTTAATAAATGTTCATTCTGATTATAGTAATTAAAATAACCAAAAACATAAAAACAGTCTACTCTTGTAGTGAGACATTGTTGGAATACAATCCTTAGAAATCACATCTTACCAGTACAACAGTACTGTATATTTTACTGTATAGTTCCCCTCATTTTGTGCAAGAATATAGTTAACAAAGTGACAAAGACCCGATATATAGGAAATTACATTTCTCATTAACTGACTGGCCTAAATATAACCAGTAGGTAAATAAAGGCCAACAGTGCATCCTTTGTCTGCCGCGCACACACCTGCTCGTACTTCTCAAGCTCAGAGTGATAGATCTGGCGGATTTGGGCGAGCTTGGCTCTGTAGTCAGAGTGTTCAATGCTGCTGTCCGTAGGTGAGCCCCCTGCTGCTGCTGCAGCTGCAGCCGCTGCAGCCGATCCTCCACCCTTCTCCGGTCCTGACACGCCCTCCGCTAGCAGCATGTTGTCCAACCGCATGATCTGGGGATCTGGGGGGTCCTCCTCCTGCACACCTCGTATACTCAGCACTGGCCAGAAGGAGAGAGAAAGTACACGAGTTAGGCGGGCAAGGTCAGAATTTACCTTGATATAAAATTGAATATTTTTTCTGCTCTTTCCAGAAGATTGAATATCTGTTGGTTAAAGGTTTTTTTTTTTTAACTGACAGACCAAACAGTCCCCCTCAGGGAGAAGGCTAATACTGTGGGTTCTGGAGGTGCACGGAAAGACACTTTATCACAGCTAAAATTCAAAGAAGTGCAGTCCTGTCAAAACCCAGTCAAGTTTCTCCCCTGAGTCATTGCAATGGGTGCCTGGCTGAATTCTCAATGAGCCTGAACTTCTCTAAATAAGCAGCAGAGGGCAGTGTGGTCCCTCTGTGGCAGGCTGCCAGAGATAAGGGCATGAGGCATGGGACCAGTAATGGGAGTGCATGTGCTGTCACTATGAGCCCCAGTGGCCATAAGTATAGTTATCAGTTGCTGCTCTCCACCACTGCATTATACCAGGACCTCTGTCAGCCTGCAGCGGTGCACCCATCTCTCTCACACACACACACACACACACACACACACACAACTATGGTCCTGAGAAGTTTAGTCCAGACACCCATCTTTTCTTCAGAGCCTAACCCTTTTAAAATTATTATATATTAAAAAAGTAAGGTAGGTTGAAACTATGGTCAAAATCAAAATAAACATGTTCAACCATCAATCAATTAATCTTAAAACAAATCACTATAAAATAATTGATGATTAAATTAATTAGTCCTACAGCATATACAAACAGAATTAATAGCACTAGGATATCACTGGTTCAACGTTGTGTACAATAGTGAAAATGTCCAAAAGGGAGTCAACTTTTGATGAATTCAAAACAGCTTTAAAATGTGAGTTGTGGGATATTGGTTCAGTCACAATAGCATTTCCACATGCGTGTTGATTCTGTAACTGGACACTTAATTAAGGAGGCAAAGGCCAATCTAAACAGCTTTGAAACCAGACAGGCTTTTGAAGGCGCCGGGCTAACTATATGGGTGACAAGATTAATCCCAGTGGAAACTGGGTTACACGTTTGTCCTCTTTAAGGATTACGCTAGTTAGTCAAAGCTCATCATCAAAGGTTAGGGGGTGCATGAATGAACTCACTCATTCAGAGCTTTTCTCGCTAGAATAACCTCTAGAATTTTATGATTCTCTGTTTGTGTCAAAGCTGTCCTGAAGTGTCATGTTGGGAGAAAAAGTTTGAAAAAGGGTTTGAGGAGCAGTCCGAGCTAACAAATGAGTAGATGTGAACTACAGCACGAACATATGTGAAAGAAATGAGGGCACAAACACTTTTGCTTAAAGTTTCCAACTGCTTTGGAGCCAGATGAGTTTTTTGCTTTCTCAAACTTCATTTGATAAATGAGTTTGTTCCACCATTTAAGGCCTCTTATTGCAGAGCGTCCAACTTTTCCTCCCCTTTTTTCTTGTTCCTTCTTGCCTTTTTCTTTGCCTCGGCTTAGGTCTCCTCACTCTCCGAGGCACATTCCTGCTCTGCTGCTCCCCCATCTCAGGGCTCAGGAATGCAGCAGACCCAGCCGCCTGAACTAATGACCCTGAATCGCCCATCTCTTTTCCCTCCTCTTTTTCCATTCCTTTCAGTCAGTCACCAGCCATCTCTGCACTTCCTAAACTGATAAACTCTGGCTTATTTATTCATCAACAGACATCAACATCAAGAGGTATTTGTTTTGTACCTGTTGAGTCTACATGATCACGCGGATAATCTGAACTCGGATGGCGGTTTTGTTTGGATTGAACGCGTGGCGTTCTGCGGGAGGTGGGGGGCGCTCTGACCGTTTGCAGTGCGTGGTTGATCTTCACAGTACGGGATTCACTAAGAAGTATAACTAACCAACAGCGAAGAAGGCAACTGTGGCTCTTGAAGCTTCTCCCTCCTCCCCTTTGCCCCCACTCCTCATTATGGCCCCCAGCTGTAGCCTAATGCCCCTACATTCCCCTAATTACTCCAATTAAGCTGTGATTACCCACAATTGCACTCATGCACAGTCTAGTGGCCTAGTAGTATTATAGCAGCTGTTGAGTTACGATACTGCGCAAAAAAAAAAAAAAAACATGACATTGCTGCAGAATAAAAAATGATTAAAAAGTGTCTTCCAGTTACAGACAAGCCATGACACTCCTTAAAGATACGAAGAATAACACAGATCTACAGGTCAGAGCCGGCTGGCTGTTTTGCAAAAATCCAAACAGCGTTTTGATCAACTAGCTTCTCACATCGCCGCTGGGATGTTTCTGTTACTGAGCGACGGAAAAAAAAGGGCTGTAGGTAATGATTTTTTTTTTTTAAGGGAAAAAAAAGCAGATTTAAGTAAGAAGACAGCTTAAGGCGCAAGCCTGCATCCAAAGCTCTTAGAAATCACACTATTATGCACACGCTACCACCCTAGCAGGGCTGTGTGGCATTGAGAGACGGAGCGAGCAACATATACTATGAAATATTCAGGCTATCCAGCTGGGCTTTCACTGCATACATAATCATTCTCATTTCTGCACAGCCAACGTGGAAACGGTGTGCAGTGCAGACGACACACAACGCATGAAGCGGTGCAGGTAGGGGTGAACAACCTGCCCAGCAGTGTGGTGCTGTACATTAACTGTAATGCCTTCCACACATAGGGAGAGATAAGACTTAAACGTAGTCAGTATATCATTGCTCAGCTCACAACACAAGCTTTATCCTTGTCTGTCGTTTCCCCTCGCTAGCGTCCCCCTTTTTCACTCTGCCCCCCCCCCAACACGCATCCCCTCCCCCCCTCTCCCTTTCAGCGCACCCCCACCAACGTCCCCCAATGCCCCCCCTCCCTCTGTTCTCCATTTCAGTCGAGTTCTCCATGTGAGCCGGAATCCCTCATGCTGTCAGCCCCCCCCCCATCCCTCCCTCCTCTCCCTCTCTCTGTAGACAGACAGGATTAGCATTTTAATTGCATCAGCTCCCTTGGGTATTCTCAGCCTTTCACTGGGAGAGAGCAAGGGAGCGGTAGAGAGAAAGAGAGAGAGAGAGGACAGAGAAGGGGAAAAAAAGGGGGAAAAAGGTAAAGAGAGGAAGGGTAGAAGGAGAACCAAGGAGAATTGAAAAAAGGGAGTCAAAGGAGAAGAAATGTGCGAGAGAGGCGGAGACAGCGAGAGAGAGAGAAATATACAGAATCCAGAGTGCAGACGTACCAGCGAGCCAGAAAGAGAGTAAAGATAGGACTGTGGAAACATCGGCTTTTTCCTTTCATTACCGACGGAGAATTCAGATAGAGAGAATGAGCCGTAGATCGATGAAGTTCACAATGAAATTATGCTACATGAATATGCAAATTCACCTAACAAAAACAAATCTCAACTGCAGCTCTGGAGGTGTGATGAGGTAAAACCCCGCTTACGCATTAAAGCCGTCTGCAGAAGAAGAAAAAGAAAGGTCTAGAAACAGGTCACGGAAAATAGGAACCTTTACAGCGATCACAGAGAACTTTTATTGTGTGTTGATTTTGGCGGTTCCTGTGGACGAAGGCGGCAGTGTTTCAGGTGTTTGACGGTTTGCTAAGCACAGTCCTGGTTCTCCCGGGCCTCCCTTCCTCCTGCGGGCCGGTGTGGATTCGATGTTGATCAGCGAGAAGCCACAGAGCAGCGAGGCGACTGCTAGACACGACAAACCCGGCTTCTGCGCTGGAAGCTGATCTGGTGAACCCGACGATCAGATGAACAGAGATATGCGTTCACTTGAAAGTTGTGCTACATTCTGCTGCTAATTGACAAAATATTTGCGTTAAAATGAGAATTCTATTCTACTCCGGCAGCGTTGCAGCTGCAGAAGTCAGCAATGTATTTCTGTTACAGGTATAGCAGCTCTCCAAAAACATTTCAATAACCTCCTTGCTGTTGGTTAAGTAAACCCGCAATTTAATACGCAGCAGCGTTTTATAGTATTTCCAACATAAGAACTAGTCAATCGTGCGCATTAATTGACGGAAGACACATTTCCGATTAATTGGGCAGAGTGAAAGTGGAAGAGCGAGAAAACCCAAACCCTTTGAGTTTATTATGACCGATAATAACCAACCTTACATGTAAAATGCAAATGTGCTGACATCATTATTAGCCGTCTTTAGTAATATGAGAAGGAACCTTGATGCCAGGGGCACTTTCTTTACAAAATGATATGTTGTAACAGTCAATTAATGTCAACTTTTACTAACAACTTTTTCTGTGCACGGAGTAATTTCATTTTCCATGTTGTTTCGGTAGAATATGTTTCCAAAAAGGCGTTTGTGTAAATCAAATGTTGCCGTAGGGTAATTGCCGAATACACCGTTGAAAATGAAGGATTGTCCGGACATCGATTTTGCCAGATAGATATTGGGTACCACTATATATCTACTGTGACATAAAACGTGTACTTAATTCTGCTGAAATGGCGTTTTTTTGGAGTACAGTCTGCTTAATGAGCCTAATCCATTTGTCCATTGCTACTTTAAGCAGCTCACGCTAATCAGCATCTGTTTGGGTAGAGTGCTCTTGCACACGGCCCCTCACTCTGACACACACACACACACACACACACACACACACACACACACACACACACACACACACACACACACACACACACACACACACACACACACACACACACACACACACACAGTGTGGTCTGATTAAGGTGTGAATTTGAGAACTCACACCTTGTGCAAACACAACATTTCAGTTCAACACATCATTAATCAGCCCTTAATTAACTACAGAAAGAGACTTGGACACTCGAGCGATGACTTGTACCCCCCCCTTGCACGCACGAATACAACGTCACAAAAAGACACAAACACACTAAAGGATTGATCTATTTACGACAAAGCGTGAAAAGGATCTATGACGAATGTTCCTATAACCCTAAAATACACACAAACACATACACACACACACACACCGTATATTGAAAATACATATATTCCAATTCCAATATTCCAATAGTTAATTTT